ACGGATCTCAATAAACACGCCTAAGGATTCCTATCCCTTACCGGTCATAGATCGGATGGTCGAGGTATCATAGGGTATAGAACCCTCAGCTTCCTTGATGGCTATAAAGGGTATCACCAAATCCTCATGGCGCGAGAAGATGCGGAAAAGACAGTTTATATTATTGAGATTGGGGTATATTGCTACGACAAGATGCCTTTTGGCTTGATAAACGCTGGCGCAACCTATCAACGCCTCGTCAACCGAGCGTTCCATAACCAGATTGGATGAAATATTGAGATATACATGGATGACATGGTGATCAAGAGTAACAGAGATGACCAAGTCATCAAGGATATGCGTGAGATCTTCTCGGTTCTCCACAAAATTAATATGAAGCTCAATCCAAAGAAATGTACCTTCTACGTGGGATCGGGTAAATTCCTAGGATACCACGTCTGGAAAGATGGAATCAGTCCCGATCAATGGAAAATCGAGGCTATCCTGGCAATCGAAGCCCCAAAGAATGTCAAGGAAGTTCAGAAGCTCATAGGATCATTAGCTTCCTATACAGGATGCGAAGACCACATATTATAAAATCTAAACTGTTGTTTAATCTTCTCCACTTCTGACTTCTTGATGAGTGCATTTTTTACTATGTCTGTAGGCATGTATTTTACCTCTTTATGCTTTAATTGTATGTCAATTAGGTTAGGATTATATGTTTATAGGCTAATTAGGTGTATTATGGTAATCCAGGGGTTGAAATGCAATATGAGCATAAAGGTGATCAAAATATGGGAAATTGGTGAAGACTCGGGCCAAATTGGAAGATACTGCAGGGACTGACGTGCAAAGGCTGAATTGGGGCTGAAATCGGCAGGAAGAAGGGCAGTTTTGGAGCAAGTCTTTGATGCTAAGGAAGAAGGGAAGGTGCTGAAGTGATGATGCTGTCAAGAGTGAAGGATTGATGTGCCTTAAAGCTGACTAGAACAACCAAAACCCCCCACAAAAGATGATTAAAGGTAAGGGGGGAAGTTGGAGAAGTATGGGTCTCCTATCTTTTGCTTAAACACATCGATTAAAGAGGAGACCAACTTGGCTAAGTAAGGATTACTCCCCCCAACCTCTATGAAAGGCAGCAGCAGCTGAAGACGAAGGCAACCAGATAAGAATACAACTTAGAAGTAGAGTAGATTTTAGGGTTTAGTTCAGAGGGTAGAAACAGAGTATAACTCTGGAAGGTAGACTCAGGGGTATCACTTGGGGAAGTGAGAAGCTGACTATGCATAGTCAGCTGCACTTTACCATACTTCCTGACTTTACTCTTCCCTTGTTTTCTTCTCCATCTGTTGTAATCAGGATGAAGTCTCAACACTTGAACTTTGAGGTGTTTGAGTTTCACTCCATGAGTAGCTAAACTCATTTCTAGGGTCTAATTCCTCTACTCTATATAATTATGTTTTGATTCATGTTCTCGGATGATATTTGTATTCTTAGTCTTAGAGTCTCAATTATCCTATTAGGTTGAACATGCCATTCAAACTAATTGTGCTTGCATGTTAGGGGAATCCCGGAAGGGTAAACTTAACTTAGAACGTCTAAGATTAACCAGTGACAAGTGGGTAACAACCCAAGGTTTCAAACAACGATGGAAGTTAGTTGTTTTTCATGAGGCAATCATAAGGGCCAAAGATCTTAATGGGTAAGTAGTAAATCAGAGTCGAAAACGGAAGTTAGTTTACTTGTTACTACTAGGACTACTGTCTGGAACAATCGGAAGTGACCTTACAATGTTTATGTGCTTGATTGAATACAGTTTCACACCATATAGAGAGCCAAAAGAATCAATACATATGCATATTGAGTAGAGTGGAGGACGACCCTAGGCTACCATCACTTTGCCAAGTCATAAACTCACTTGCCAATTTGCTATTTTCACTTTTGCTTTGTGTTCTTGCACTGGATCTCAATTTTCATGAATTGTTTCCCCTCTCTGTGGGACCTACCCTTATTATCCCTTACTACAAGTTTTAAGCAGGTTTTATTTTGGTGGTCTCCACACCCATCACTTCCATCGTACAAGCAGAGGGCTAAGATCAGGTATTCCATGGAATATCACCAGTGTTGTTGCTTCCCAGAATTTATCTAACCACTTCTCATTTATCAGGGGTCCTATCCAGTTTACAGGCTATTCGATTCCTTCCCAGCTATCTATTACTCCATGTGAAATTATTTCCCACTATTTTCATGGATTGTTGCTCTCACTTATTAATCATCATTTGAAACATCCCTGTATTACTCAGGCTGACATTGCCCCCAATTTTTTCTTCTGAATCCAGCATGTAATTAAAATCACCTATAATAATCCAAGGCAAGTTGATTTGTCCTGCTCGACTCATTAGATACTGGTGCGTGTCGAGTTCACCAAAAATTTTACTAGCTTGGATTGTGATTTTTGTAGATAATGGAAGCTAGGTCGATCCCATGAGGACAGCTAATTATCAAATTCGTTGTTAAAAGACTACCAGTTTAGACAAGGTGTAACTCAGGAGAATGGAAACAGTCACTCAGGCGAATAGATGCCAGGGGTGTTCACCTCCTCTTCCTAATGTAGTAGTTGTATAATCAGCACGGTTATGGTTAAGTTCTTGTTCATTCAGCTCACTTATAACTCTAAGTCAGTTCCCATTTTTCCTAGAGTCATCTTTGCAATCTTAACAATCTATTTTCCAATGATTGATTCCAGTTATAAAGTCATCAAGATCTCAGGCTTACATGAATGCTCATGTCAACTAAGTATATTCTTATCTTAGTTAAAACCATAGACTGTTACCTCTATGTCATAAGTTGAAGTTGAAATAATCCAAACCAAGTTTATCTTTCCAGATCTCCCTTAGCTCTAACATGCATTCAATTTAGTGATCAAGTAAATGAATGTAGAAAAAACTTTCAACTTCAAAACAAAGAACAGAACCAGTGCATTACAACAACTCCAATATAGGTTGAGCAGATTAACCCCTAGAAGCTACTTAGCTACTCATGCAGATTAATGCACATTACTACATCAAAAGACATCATAGAAGTATGCATCATAAAACGAAGTTCAAGCTAACAGTCAAGAGACGAGAAAAAAGCTTGTGCAGTTCTGAACCACTCCTGAGAGTGAAAGAGTTCACTCATGGAAGTGAGGCAGTGACTGGGATGGCTAATCTTCAGCTTGGTTTCCTTACTGAGTTGTGTCTGTTCCTTCTTCTTTCTTGCCTTCTTCTGGAGTTTTTCTGTGTCTTCTTGGCAACTGAAAGGTGTAGCCAGAGATGCCCATTTCTGAGAGTGCAGCTCCCCTTTTATAGAGCCCTGAAGCCAGTTCTTCAACCAAGAGAGCCTCCCCATGCTTGTGAATTGTTTAATCCTTCCTAGGCCTTGTGTCTGGAATCTGAAATTGACCGGTCTTCTTCTCTTCTTCCAGCAGTGGTAGCAGCAACCTCATTGATCAGCATGGGTGGTTGGAATTTCGGCCAAGGAGACAAGCATGCCTTTGGAATTATAAGGATAGACACACTCATTAATGTCAAGGTGCATTGTGTCTTGGGAGTGTTTTTTTTCGACCAGCTCAGCAAAAATTGTATCCAGCAGCCCACAAATTGTTCCTTTGGCCCCAATTTTCAGTAATTTTTCAATCAAGTCCTAACCTAATAAAAACACAAAAACTAGTTAAGTGAAATGCACTAATAGTAAGGAATATCCCTAATTTCTAACTAAATTCAGAGTTAATTGTGATGCTTTTATGTAACAAATAAACCATTATCAACTCCCCCCAAACTGGAAGAATTGCTTGTCCTCAAGCAAAACAACTAAACTCTTGCTGGCACTTACAGAATTATATATAAGAAACAGGAAAAACGAAATTATCAAAATGACTGAAGACTGACTTACTTCCATGAGTGAAGATTCTCACTCAAGCATGTGACACTGCACATAGAAACAACAACACCAACACAAACTGGATAGGGGCTGTCAACCTTTTGTCTCAGATTAAAGTAAAGAAAACATACACTTAAAGACATCAAATCTTTCTGCAATCCAGAGTCAAACAGCCAACCTTCACATGAAATTAGAATACATGCCACAAGAGTCAGTTATGCCCAACCTAACAATCCATTCTAAGTTAACTGGTTTTAGCGTGTGGTGGTCATTCTTGTGATCTGGTTGACTTGATTTACCTACTGAGGCTTCAATCATGGACTTCCTTCACAGCCTTTCTGTCTGTTTTTTTTTTTTAGAATGTAGATGGACCAATCTTACACCTTTGGGAGGGGTGATATTCAACCTTATCTCTCCACTGCCTTATACCTCAACCCTTATTACTCCAACAGTTTGGAACTTTTTGTGGTGGTTCCTTGCTGTTACCCCTAAGGTTTCAGTTGATCCAATCTTTTATTATATATATATATATATATATTTAACAAGCAGGCTGTGAATGGATACCACAAAGGAAATCTCAGGTTTACAGCATTTCTCATCTATTTGTAGCTCAGAACTAGACACAGATCACAACAGTGGATTAGTCATGCCAAATTTTAGAATTTATGTTCTAGGCAGTCACTTCCACGAGTGGCATTGTTCATGTGTGTGAGTGAGTGGGAACAGTCATTCTTTCACTTCATGCATCAGACTCAGCATCAAAAGTGTTTTAGCAAAATTTTTTCAAAACCATTATCCTCCTAGACTGTTGACACCGTTTTAGAAAATTTTCATTTTATTCCAAAAAAAATTTACAGACTCCATCTAGACATGAACCTAAGGGGCCTGAATTTAAAAACCTAACAATAATACTAACACTACTCTACTACTCCCCCAAACTTATTCTAAGCATTGCCCTCAATGCTTAACACAACAAACACGGCAAAACACATCAAACAGTAAACAAATAAAAACCACAAAAATTAAAAGAGTTCACCATTTTAACAAAAAAAGTAAATTGTTGATTAGGGGCATTAGAACAACAATTCCCTGAGTGTTCATGGAGGCATGCCATGGAGTGAATGGGCTGGTGGATCATGCGGCAATGGGCAATTTTCAGGGTATCCAATGCACTTGTGCATTTCTTGTAGGAATTGCTCAGTCCTTATCTGGCACTGGTGGACATAGTCCAAGATGAACCTGGTCTTCTTGTTGAAATCTCTCTGCCTCAACTGTCCAGCCGGAGTGGGAGTGGATGTTGCTTGTCCTGAGGAAGATGCACCTGGGGGTCTCTGGTCCAACTTATTCAACCTCAAAGGTTGTTGCAGGCTGCTCTTTGCATCTATGTTCAGAAAGCCACCCCTGCCCTTCCGCAAAGCATGGTAATCATCACTGGGAAGTACCAGCTCTTCACCTTGGGATCTGTGATATATCTGGTGAGTTGATCCCTGATTACTGATGCCGCATCAAGTGGCGTGTTTGTGATGATTGCATACAGTATCATGGCTTGTTCGTAGGTGACCTTGGAAGTGTAGGTCGTTGGCATCAAGTTGCAGCAGATGAGGTGGTGCCATAAATTCAGATCAGGCGTTTGCAAGGCATTAGCGTAGAATCCCAAGGGGTTGTCCTGATCATCCTTCTCCCAATCTGTGCCTTCCTTTGCCAGTCTTGACAGAATTGCTTGCTCCAGTGGCTGATTCGGATGAAGGGCAGTGATGGTTTCCCTGTAATCGGTGCTGACTCTTGGCAATTTCCAGATGGCCCTAATGCCTTCTGTGCTGCAATTGACTGATATTCCTCAGACAAAGACTCCATCTCTGGGGGCGGTGGTGAAATTGCCGTAAAATTCATGCACGATCTGGAGCCGGGGCCGGATAAGGGGCCTAGAAAACATGTCCCACCTATGGCGTTTGATGTAGGCGAACGCTTCACCATCCTCACCGATTCCCCTTTCTGCAATGATCTTACGCTTTAGATGTTTCAACAAGAAATCCCAAGCCTTCTTTCTCGGGAATAGCCTTGGCTCCCATTCGTCTGTGATGGCGTTGAGGGCTTGTTCTTGGAGGGCCCTTGGTGGTTGTGGAGGCGGCGGCGGTGTCGGTTCCCCGTGAGGGGAAGGCTGCCTTTCAGGAGAGGACAAGGATGAGGAGGAGGATATCCGTCTTCTGGTTTTGGAAGCATTTTTGCAGGCAGCAACCTTTCTCCTTGCCGGCGGCATGATTTAGGAACCTAAATTGAATTGATAAAGTGATGGGAATTAGGTCTAAATTGAAACTGCCTTGGTTGTCTGAAATCTCAGAGATGGGTCAGTGCGTTCACCCACAAGGCAGTGGTATTTGAAGAGTTGGTTCTGGGAGAAGAAGAAGATGAAGAAGACGAAGAAGTGGAGGAGTTCCAATTAAATGCACAGCAGTTAGAATTTTTTTTTTGGAAGTTGTGGCTAACCAATGTAGCTTTAACAACAGACCCGGTTTAATTTGAATTTTGAAAAATTTCTGGAAAAATTCCCCCCAAACTTAAACTGTAAAATAGAGTTCAAAAAGGTGAGCTCTTGCAGAAAGTGTTGTATAGTTGTCCTCACTCCGGTCAGTGATTTGTCCCACTTGCGTGAGTGACGTCAGGGTTTGAATGACTTACAGAATCACATTGGGGTGACAGGTACCTCATCCGTTCCTGCAAAATTGGCATAGCACAAAATTAGCCACACAAAAGCAAAACGTATGGCTGTCTCCCATAAAGCGCATTGGTTTTAAGTCTCATGCCAGACTTTCACAAACTTTTAGTTGAGCTCCTTGAGGGCAAGGACGTGACTGTCCTGTCCCTTATTCCCTTTTTCCAGACCAAGATATGGCTTTAGTCTCTGCCCATTGACCAAAAAGGTATTGCTATTTTGTGGATTCGTGATCTCCACTGCTCCTTGATTTAAAACCTTGTTGATTTTGTAGGGGCGTGTCCATCTTGACCACAACTTCCCTGGAAAGAATTTTAGCCTGGAATTGAACAACAAGACTTCTTGTCCTTCTTGCAGGTCCTTCTTCACAATATGTTGATCATGGTAAGCCTTAGTTTTCTCTTTATAAACTCTGGATGATTCATATGCCTCCAGTCTGAATTCTTCCAGCTCATTCAATTGCATCAATCTAAGTTCTTTGCTTTTGCTTGGATCAAGATTCAGCTCCTTAATTGCCCAGTAAGCCTTATGCTCCAACTCCACTGGCAAGTGGCATGCTTTCCCATAGACCAGTTTGAATGGGGACATACCAATGGGGGTTTTATATTCTGTTCTGTATGCCCATAAAGCTTCATCCAACCTTGAGGACCAATTCTTTCTGGTAGAGTTGACAACCTTTTCCAGGATTCTTTTCACTTCCCTGTTTGACATTTCTGCTAGCCCGTTTGATTGTGGGTGGTATGGTGTTGATACTCTGTGCCTGATTCCATATTTCTTCACCATGGTTGCAAATGACTTGTTACAAAAGTGTGATCCTTCATCACTGAGTATCATTATGGGTGTACCAAATCTGGCAAAAATGTTTTTCTTTGAAAACCTGAGAACAGTCTTAGCATCACTGTTTCTTGCAGCTACGGCTTCTATCCACCTTGAAACGTAGTCTACTGCCAGTAGGATGTAGGAGTTCCCAAAGGATGACACGAAAGGACCCATGAAATCTATCCCCCATACATCAAACAGTTCTATTTCAAGCATGTTCTGCTGTGGCATCTCATTCTTCCAGGAAATGTTTCCTGTCCTTTGGCATCTGTCACAGCTTTTCACAAATTCACGTGCATCTCTGAACAGGGATGGCCAATACAGTCCAGCTTGCAGAACCTTGATTGCCGTTCTTTGACCATTGAAATGCCCACCATAGGGAGAACTATGGCATTTGTGAAACACTTCTGTGAACTCAGTTCTGGAATACACCTTCTGATCAATTGGTCTGCACATCTTTTGAATAGGTAGGGTTCATCCTATAGGTAGAGTTGAGCATCATGACGGAACCTTTTGCACTGTTGAGGGGTAAAATCTGGAGGAATAATACCAGCAGCAACAAAGTTAGCAAAATCTGCAAACCAAGGCACATTACTGTCACTCCCCTGAGTGTGCCTGTCACACGCGAGTGACTCATCGGGAATTTTTCTGAAATTGGAGTTGTGTCTTCTGGAATCTCTTCTAGTCTTGACAGATGGTCTGCTACCTGATTCTCAGCACCCTTTCTGTCTCTTATCTCCAAATCGAATTCCTGTAACAACAACACCCATCAAACCAACCTAGGCTTAGACTCTTTTTTATTGATCAAGTACCTGATGGCAGCATGGTCTGTGTAGACTATGACTTTCATTCCTAGCAAATAAGCTCTGAATTTGTCAAATGCGAATACAATTGCCAGCATTTCCTTCTTTGTAGTGGTGTAGTTGATTTGTGCAGGGTTGAGGGTTTTACTAGCATATTAAACCACATGCAACACCTTACTCCTTCTCTGTCCAAGTATAACCCCAACTGCAAAATCACTAGCATCACACATTAATTCAAAAGGCTGTGACCAATCAGGTGTGATGATTACAGGTGCGGAGATTAGTTTCTTTTTCAGTTCAGTAAATGCATTTAAACAGGATTCATCAAAAATAACAGCAGTGTCTTTTTCAAGCAAGTTGCACAATGGATTAGAGATTTTTGAAAAATCTTTAATGAACCTCTTGTAAAAGCCGGCATGGCCTAGGAAGCTCCTTACTCCCTTGACTGTGGTTGGTGGGCTGAGCCTTTCTATGACTTCTATCTTTGCCTTGTCCACTTCAATTCCTTCCTGTGAGATCTTATGTCCCAAGACAATCCCCTCAGTTACCATAAAATGGCACTTCTCCCAGTTGAGGACTAAGTTGGCTTCTATGCATCTCTTCAATATCAGTCCAAGGTTGTCCAGGCATGCATCAAACGACTTACCAAAAACCGAGAAGTCGTCCATAAAGATCTCAATTATGTCTTCCACCATATCAGAGAAAATGGCCATCATACATCTTTGAAATGTTGCAGGTGCATTGCACAGTGCAAATGGCATTCTCTTAAAGGCAAATGTGCCATAGGGGCAGGTGAACGTTGTCTTTTCTTGATCATCAGCATCTATGGCAATCTGGTTATAACCTGAGAAACCATCAAGGAAACAGTAATACATGAATCCAACCAATCTATCTAGCATTTGATCAATAAAGGGAAGTGGGAAGTGGTCCTTTCTGGTAGCTTTATTAAGCTTTCTATAGTGTATGCACACTCTCCATGAATTGTTCAGCCTTGTTGGGATCAGCTACTGGAGATCATTTTTTATTACTGTGATTCCTCCTTTCTTGGGCACGCACTGCACTGGGCTCACCCACTTACTGTCAGATATTGGGAAGATGATTCCAGCGTCCAGGGGCTTAATAATCTCCTTTTTTACCACTTCCTTCATGACTGGGTTGAGCCTTCTTTGTCCTTCAATGGTTGGCTTGGCATTGTCTTCAAGTAGGATCTTGTGCATACATATGGAAGGATTGATGCCCTTAATGTCTGCAATTGACCATCCAATGGCTTCCTTGTGCAACCTCAGCACCCTTAGCAGCTTATCCTCTTCACTACCTATAAGCATAGAAGAAATGATCACAGGTAAGGTGTTACTTGCTCCAATATAGGCGTACTTCAAATGTGAAGGTAGAGGATTAAGTTCCAGATGAAGTGGTTCTTCAATTGAAGGTTTGAGGCATCTTCCTTCCTTAGTCAGGTCCAACAGTTCAAAGGGTTGTTGTTTAGGATGCCACTTGGGGGAGTGGTTCAGGTAACTCAGGCAAGTGAGCCTGTACTCATCCCCTCCTTCCTGTTCCTCATTACTGTCTGGGCATAAGAGTTCCTTGAGGAGCTCATCTTGCAGTATTTCTTCTGTCACTGCTTCTTCTACTTCTACACTTCTTACCATGTAGCAGTTATGGACTTTAGCAGGATATCTCATATATTTGAAGATGTTGAAGGTAACCTTCTCTCCATCAAAGTGCAGTGTGATTTCTCCCTTTTTCACCTTAATGATTGCATCACTTGTTGCCAGAAAAGGTCTCCCCAAGATGATGGGCACATCCCTGTCCTCTTCCATGTCCAAAACCACAAAGTCTGCTGGGTAAACGAAATTCCCAACCTTCACAAGAACGTCATGTAAGATTCCCTTTGGGTAGGTCAGTGACCTATCTCCCAACTGCAATGTCATGTTAGTAGGTACAAGAAATTTGTCCAAATCAAGTGATTTAAATACAGACAATGGCATGAGATTTATGCTTGCACCAAGATCTAGTAATGCTTTTGAAAATTCTCTGATTCTTACCGTACAAGGAAGAGTGAAACTACCCGGATCTTTTAGCTTAGGTGGCAATTTTCTCAAAATAGCTGCACTACATTCTTCATTTAGAGTGACAAAAGCAGAGTCGTGCACTCGTGGTTTATTAGCCACCAAATCTTTCAAGTACTTGAACTATTTAGGCATTTGTTTAAGTGCATCAACAAGTGGTACATTAATATGTATGCTTTCCAAATTTTGAATAAACCTATTGAGTCCTTCATCTATCTTGGCCTTCTTTTGTCTTACCGGATATGGGGGTATTGGAACTGGCTCTTGTGGCTTCTTAATCGGTGCTGGGAATTGAATTTCATCCATTCCAGGCTTTTTAGTTGCTTGCTCATGTTCAACCAAATCACCATTATCAGATATTTTCTCAGAAAATGTTTCCTTATTACCTGCAGGCTCACTCACGAGAGTGACTTTTTCACTTGGCTGATTGAGTTGTTTTCCACTTCTCAGAGTGATAGCCTTTGCTTGCTTTTGATCATTCCCCTTGGGGTTTACAACTGTAACACTGGGCATGCTTCCAGATGGTTTTTCAGCATTTTGTTTTGCAATCTGAGCCAACTGATTTTCCAAACTTTTCCAAGACACAGCAAAATTCTTGATTGCATTTTGCACAGAAATCCATTCATCTTCCCTTGGTATGTATTGCTGGTTAGAACGTTGTTGATTATGATAGTTGGGAGGTTGGCCATCTTGTCTATGAAATCTTGGGGGTTGAGTAGGCCTCTGATAGTTCCCTTGTTGTGGTGCATTGTTCCAATTAGGCTGCTGCTAATTTCTCCAATTGTTGAAGTTGTTGAATCCTCCAGCATTGCCCTGCCTGACAAACTGGATAGCTTCCATTTTGGAGGGACAGTCATCCAAATTGTGAGATCCATCACATAACACACACACTTCAGCCTTGGATTTGGACAGCTCACTCCTTAGTTTTGTCATTTCATTCATCATAATAGCCATTTGTGCTTGCAAGTGTGTACTGGGGTCAAGTTCCATTACTCCTGGTTGTTTTGTACTTGCCCTTGGATCAGATTGCCACCTTGAAAGATTGGTGGTCATATCGTCAAGCAACTGCCTTGCTGCATCAACCGGCTTCATCATAAACACACCACCAGCTGCAGCATCCAGGGAGCCTCTTGTAGTTGGTAGCAGCCCATTATTAGAAGATGCTTAGTTGGAGATTCTCTTCCAAACCATGCTGAGGGTATTTCCTGATCATTTCCTTCAGTCTTTCCCATGCTTCATAGAGGGTTTCAGTTCCATGCTGCTTGAAATTCATTATTGCTGTTCTGAGCTGTGCTGCTTTTACGGGTGGAAAGAATTTTGTGAGGAAGCATTGTCTTAACTCTTCCCAAGTGGAGATAGAATTGTTGGGTAATGTATTGAACCATGCTTGGGCGTGATCCTACGAGGTGAAAGGGAATAACCTCAGTCTAATGTCATCATTGGATAAGCTTTGAATCTTAAAAGTACTGCATAAATGCAGAAAACTTCGGATACGATCATTAGGATCTTCATGAGGTAATCCATGGAACGGGCAGGCTGACTGAGTCCATTGGATCATCAGTGGTTTCAACTCAAAATTGGTTGCCTCTACATCGGGGAACACCAAAGGGGATTGGACTTCTTCTTGTTGTGGGATAAAGAAATCTCTAAGCAATCTCTCTGGTCGATTTTGTTGATCCCCACCAGGATTCCTATTGTTCTCCGGGTTACCACCTTGGTTAGCCATTTCCGATGAACCTTCTTGGCGGTTCTGTTGCCACTGATTCTGCCTTCTTTTTGCTGCTCTGGCTCTGCGTATAGTAGCTTCAATGTTTGGATCAAAAACTGGTTCACTGCGTTGGTGCCTTCTAGTCATACACCAAAGAAAAGAAACTGGAAGCTTAGTGGGGTAACCAGAGAAGAATTTTATATATTTACAAATGAATGAAAACAACAAATTTTGGAGGTTTTACGCCGTCCCTGGCAATGGCACCACTTTCTGGTGCGTGCCGAGTTCACCAAAAATATTACTAGCTTGGATTGTGATTTTTGTAGATAATGGAAGCTAGGTCGATCTTACGAGGACAGCTAATTACCAAATTTGTTGTTAAAAGACTACCAGTTTAGACAAGGTGTCACTCAGGGGAATGAAAACAGTCACTCAGGCGAATAGATGCCAGGGGTGTTCATCTCCTCTTCCTAACGCAGTAGTTGTATAATCAGCACTGTTATGGTTAAGTTCTTGTTCATTCAGCTCACTTATAACTCTAAGTCAGTTCTCATTTTTCCTAGAGTCATCTTTGCAACCTTAACAATCTATTTTCATATGATTGATTCCAGTTATAAAGTCATCAAGATCTCAGGCTTACATGAATGCTTATGTCAACTAAGTATATTCCTATCTTAGTTAAAACCATAGACTGTTACCTCTATGTCATAAGTTGAAGTTTAAATAATCCAAACCAAGTTTATCTTTCCTGATCTCCCTTAGTTCTAACATGCATTCAATTTAGTGATCAAGTAAATGAATGTGGAAAAAACTTTCAACTTCAAAACAAAGAACAGAACCAGTGCATTACAACAACTCCAACATAGGTTGAGGAGATTAACCCCTGGAAGCTACGTAGCTACTCATGCAGATTAATGCCACATCTACTACATCAAAAGACATTATAGAAGTATGCATCATAAAACAAAGTTCAAGCTAACAGTCTAGAGACGAGGAAAAAGCTTGTGCAGTTCTGAACCACTCCTGAGAGTGAAAGAGTTCACTCATGGAAGTGAGGCAGTGACTTGGATGACTGTTCTTCAACTTGGCTTCCTTACTGAGTTGTTGTTGTTCCTTCTTCCTTCTTGCCTTCTTCTGGAGTTTTTCTGTGTGTTCTTGGCAACTGAAAGGTGTAGCCAGAGATGCCCATTTCTGAGAGTGCAACTCCCCTTTTATAGAGCCCTGAAGCCGGTTCTTCAACCAAGAGAGCCTCCACATGCTTGTGAATTGTTTAATCCTTCCTAGGCCTTGTGTCTGGAATCCGAAATTGACCGGTCTTCTTCTCTTCTTCCAGCAGTGGCAGCAGCAACCTTATTGATCAGCATGGGTGGTTGGAATTTCGGCCAAGAGACAAGCATGCTTTTGGAATTCTAAGGAGAGACACACTCATTAATGTCAAGGTGCATTGTGTTTTGGGAGTGTTTTTTTTCGACCAGCTCAGCAAAAAATTGTATCCAGCAGCCCACAAATTGTTCCTTTGGCCCCAATTTTTTAGTAATTGTTCAATCAAGTCCTAACCTAATAAAAACACAAAAACTAGTTACGTGAAATGCACTAATACCAAGGAATATCCCTAATTTCTTACTAAATTCAGAGTTAATTGTGATGCTTTTATGTAACAAATAAACCATTATCAGATACTCGCATAGATGTGTTCTACCCTGAGGTTGATAAGCTGCATATACAACAGTTAGCATGAACTCCAATCCGGTACCAACTATTTGTACCTTGCATTGAGTATATTGTTGCTCTAATTGAGTGATGATCCCGTTGTATTCTTCCCTCATCCAAATCAATAGTATTCTTCCTTTATCTGTTGGCCTATGATTACTTATATAGTCATAATTGTACCATTTCTTCTCCATTAACACCTTCACTTTGTCTTCTTGTAATTTGGTTTCTAGAAGCCCTGCTATACCCACGTTATTGATAGAGAGATAGATGTTTCAGTAGACTATTTAGTCCCCTTACATTCAAACTAAGTAGGCTCACCATGTTTGCTAGGCCCTATAATAGGGTGAACAGCTGTATGGCTATTTGTTTCCCCCCCTTGTCTCAGTCTAGTAGGTTTGCCTTCTGCTCCTTTTGCCTCTTTTCTAGCCTGACCTTGATTACCATCTTTCTGAGAAATGTTTGTTATCATAGGCTGCTTCCTTGTTTCCTTACATACAACATCATCTGCTTGAGCCTGAGAAATGGCATCTTCCCCTTTCTCCTCGCTGGGAACAGGATTGCTAACCCCTTCTTTCTGATTCCTTAACTTGTCTTCTTTTTAGCATAGCATTATGATTCTTTTCTTTCCATACTTTGCACACTGGTTTCCTGCATACAGCTACCTCATGTCCATAGCCAGAGCAATTCCCACACTTAATGGGCAACCACTCATATTTGATCTTCTGCTCTTGCAGTATTCCATTATCATCTTCAAGGAAGTAGTGTTATCATAATAAGCTATGATCATAATGTTAAGCTTAGCTGGTCAATTTTCTTTTAGTTGTTATAGGGGATCCACTCCTTCATTGTGAGCTGGTTTCAGAGAGATTGTGAAGGTAAAAGAGTTTAAGCATGAGAAGTGCTAGCAAAATAATGGAGGTCAGACATCAAACGGGACCTTTTATCTAACATTACGATTAATTACTTTTTCTTTTTTGGGGGTTATATTGTGGGAGCTACATCTTTTCTCTGATACCGAGAAAAAGGACAAAAAAGAAAAAAAATTAAAGGCTTAAAAATTTAATTTAGATTCTTAAACGTCCATAAAACATGAATAATATGGTACATGTAAATTATCTTAAATGCAAAGATTATGTACCCAATTTAGGATGTCAACTCCATTAGTGCGTATTTGTATACAAACCATTTTAAGCATGACACTTTTTGACTATATAATTTGATGGAGTTTGCCAAAGGAAAAAGGACACAAAAGAAATCTTCTCTGCGTCTCTCTCGATGGCGAAAACCAACTACCAATCAATGTCCATTTGGACCATTTGATTGATATTGGTATTTCGCCTTTGGATTAGCTTTGCTGCAACCATGTCTTCGGAAGCTGTTGATTCAGCTGGGAATTTCCAAACAACAAGAAACAGAAGAGTGGATTCTCACCAGTGCTGCCTCATGTTCATAGCCAGAACAATTCCCACACTGAATGGGCAACCACTCATATTTGATCTTCTGCTCTTGTAGTATCCCACACTTAATGGGCAACCACTCTTACTGTTTGATCATTCCTTCTACTAATTTGAATTTGGAGACGCGTTTCAAAATCTGAAAATGTCAGAGGAAGATGTACGAATCGAAGAGCTCAATTATGATAATTCAAAGGCTGTTGAGGATTGTATTGTATTGAATGAAGCGAAGGTTCATTTTTCTTGAAGTGAAAAGAACACCAAGATTTCATGCAATATGAAATATGTTTAAAGTGGCTAAAAATGAAGATACTAATTTAGCTTCTTCTTTTTTCCATGTTTCACTAGCAAGAAAACAAGGTGAGATTGTAAATCAACAAATTAATGGTGGAAGGAGGCAACTGGATTACATAAATTGTTGAAATAGGGTCTAAGGCTATTGAATTTTGAGGAATTTACTCCAAGCAGAACATATTGAGGGCCCGATCCATCTATTATCACATCTAAAGAAAATGATCATCTATTGAGGCCTATTACCATGGAAGAACTCAAGGCAGCCATTTTTAATCTTGATGCATCAATTGCTCTAGCATAGATGGTCATGGAGAAGAATTTTATTGTGGATGTTGGGAAATTATCAAACAAGACCTCTTTTCAGTATGCCTTGAATTTATGGTGGGAGTGCCAGTATCACAGCAATTGGTAACATGTTTATAACTCTTATTCCAAAGAAGCAATCAGTTTCTACATTCACTGACTTCCTTGAATCAGTTTATGCAATTTTGTAAATAAGGTCTTCACCAGGATTTTGACTGAGAGGCTGGAAATGATATTAAGTAAGGTCATTTCCATGGAGCACCCTACATTTCTTGTTGGAAGAGACACTGCCAACAATATTATAATGACTCAAGATTTGTTTCTTGGACCATCCTATTGTTGGTAACAATCTAGTGGTCAAAATTGAGATGATGAAGGTTTTTGACAATGTTTCGTGTCAGTTCCTTAGTCAATTCCTAGAAGCATTTAGCCTCCATAAAAGATTTATTTCTCTTGTAATATGATTAATTCCAATTATTTTCCATACATTGGTGTCGTGAGATACTTTGAATCAACATATAAAATCCATGGGCTACTTCCCTAATTGTCATATTGGTTTTGAGGTTGGATCTCATGGGCTTCTACATAGTATCAAAGTTGGCTCGGTCGGTGGTGAATTTTAGTTCCTGATGTTATTCTGCTACCTATGATGTCATTTTGCAGTTATTTTCCTGACCCAATACTGTATCTGATGATATAGTCCAAGCCCGTTGGACATGAGGGCGAGTGATGAACATCCAAATGATATTTGTCCCACCTTGCTACCGTGAGATACTTTAAACCAATATATAAAATCCATGGGTTACTCCCCTCATTGCCTATTGGTTCTGAGGTGGAAGCCCATGGGTTTCTATATAATGTCCAACTCATGAAGCAGCTGGTTTTCAATTTTAATCAATGGAAGCCCAACGGGTTTCTTTCCAGCAACTCGGGGAATCAAGCAAGGTATCTATTATCTCCCTATCTATTCATTCTTCTTTCAGAGGCATTTACCCACAGTCTTAAGCTACTAAAAACAGAGGGTAAGATAGCATTATATGGAATTATGGCGGATCATGTATGGTCTCATATTTAAGTTTTGTGGACGATCTAATTATCTTCACAAGAGGTTTGAAACGGTCAATGGCAAAACTTGAACAAATTTTTTCAAGACTATGAAATTGTAGTAGGGCAAAAGCTGAATAAGCAAAAGGGCTTTTTCTAACCTTGGAGGAAAGTGACTCAACACATGTAGATATGGTATCTCAGGAGTTGGATATGTACTTTGGCTTTTTCCCTTTTAATTATCTGGGATGTCACCTATTCAAAGGGAGGAACAACACGGAACATTTTACTTTTTACTAGACTCATTTGAAACTCAAGGGAAATCGGAAGAATAAGTTCTTGACGCCTGGAGGATGCCTAATTCTGATCATGCACGTTCTATCTGCCATTCCATTTCATACCATTGCTACAATATCCCCTCCAAAGTCAATCCTTGAAGCCTTAGAAGCTACATGTCGTAATTTCTTATGGGGAGAAAATGATGAGGGTTCTAAACGTCACGGTGATCATGGAAACGCATCACCATATCCAATTCATGAAAATGGCATCAGCATTCAAAACTTTCAGAATATAATTGATGCTTTTTTCAATAAAGTTTTGTTGGAATATTAAGACAAAAATTGATATGGGTGAAGTTTATTTATCTCCATTGCAAACATCAAGACATCGCACAAAGTGGAAGCAAATTTGGAAGATTGAGTAGAAATCTGCTGAAAATTCCATGATTTTACTCAACAAGGTGCAAGCTCCTTTTGGTTTGATCTATGTTTCAGACCTGAATTAAGTTGCAATGTCGAAGATGCTACAATTGAACCGTATAAGCACTTAACGATTCGTGAATTTTTTATCAAATGGTATTTTAATTGGAGGAATTCAATGATCTCTTGCAACCGCAATTTAGGATGCTTCTGGAAGCAAATAATCTTGTTTTTACAGAAGACGCTGATGATCTAATATGGCAGCCAACTACTAGGGGAAATTTACAATCTCATCGGCTGATGAAGAAATCAGGGAGTTCTCTTTCCTTTTTTTAGTTCATACAAAATAAGTTAATTCCTTCAAAAATATGAATTTTTATTTGGAAATGCGTAATAGTTTGTTTCTTTTTGTAGATACTCTTGCCACAATCCTTCAACAAACAAACAAGACTCAAATCCGTCCGTAATTCACTCTGAACCAACATTTTTCAAAGGTGAACCGACTTTTCTTCTTACAAAAAAAGAGGATGAAAGATTGGCCACCCCATTCCGCCTTGCTCTAGTCGGAAAATTTACCAAAGGCCGGCCAAAAAATAGATTACTTGCGGAGAGAATTCCAAACTATTGGTTTCAAAGGAAATTTCTCACTAGGAATGATCGATCACCGACATATACTTATCTGCTTCGATCTTGAGGAAGATTATCACTGCTGCTGGCTGAAAGGTATATGGACCTTTGATACACATTGGATGCAAGTTCTAAAATGGATTATCGACCTCATCCAGCACATGAAAGCTCCGTTATTCCAATTTGGATCTATTTTGAAGGTCTCTCCATTCATCGCTTCAACAAGGAATACTTGTGGAATCTTGCTAGTATCATCGGAACGCCTCTTCGAATCGATGTCCCAACCCTCAATATGTCATGACCTTTAGTGGCACGGGTTTGTGTTGAGATCGATTTACTTAAGTATCATCTCATTCGAATCAGATTGGGAGTAGAAGGAAAATCTTATTTCCAATCAATCCTTTATGAGAAGATACCCCAAAATTGTGTTGATTGCAAAGAAATTAGCCACAATCTCAACTCCTTTCGGCATAACATGGCTGCTACAGCACAACCAAAGATGGATGCACTTCATTCCACAAAACAACAATCCAAACAACCGGTGCAATCATCTGAAACTCCTAAATAGCCAATCTTGGGGGTGTCAATGGGGGGAAAAGTTTTGGAGTCTCAACACAGAAAACAGTTTGAAAGGCGAAGCTCAGAGGAGAATCATGTAGCGAAGCTTCTATTACTCGCTACTCAACCGATGATCGAATGAGAAGAATCTTCACCAGCGGAAGCAGCTCTTCAGTCTCCAATGGAGGATGGCTTAAGGGAGTCTCCAATAACCACCGGTGGACAGGAAAATCCTCGCATCTTGCATCCTCATCCAAACTCTCAACCGAATTCCGATCTTGCGCAATCAGCGCCTCTAATCGAATCCAATCCCGAAATCCCTCAAATCTCGCAGCCTCTCTCCAAATCTCAACCAAATCTCCAAATCTTTAAATCTCAACCAAACTCCAAACCAATCATTTCCAAATCTTCCAAATTCAAATGAAAAGATCTCGCAATCATCTGAAAAATCTCAAAGCTCTCCCGCAGTAAATGCCCCCTCAATCAACACTCCTGTTATCCCGCATTCAACGCCCTCTAACTCTGAAGAAGAATTTTCAAAAAAATACCTCCATCAGTAGTACAACCAAAAAAAATGAATCCCAACGCCATAGAATTTTCATCTTCTTCTCAAACACAAATACCTATTTTACAAGTTATGCTTCCAATTCGAAGCCCTGCCTTAGAGAAATCGCAAGAACGATACGTCTCAAAGAATGATATATAGTTGGAAAAACACTGAGTCTTTTACTACAAATCCGTCAAATGATCTGATCAACTTGGAAGGTGAACCAAATCAAGCCTCCAACTTTTCGGAAGCACAAGAAACTGATATGAAATTTGCAATGGAACGGGAGTCTTTCTACAATGAAATCTCAACACAATCACATCACAGTCGTAAGAAGAAAAACATGGGTAGGTCTAATGTTAGAATCCGTTGTTCCTCTATGCTAAACAAAGAATCAAATTTTGTGTAATTCTATATAGGATTTAGTATATTCGCTGCCCTATTTGTTTCTCATAGTTTAAATAAAATTTTAATTTTGTTTTTTTAAAAAAAAAGAAAAAAACATTTCTATTAGTTTCCCTCAAAAACATTTTGTGTTTAAAGGATGAAGAAGCAAAGGCTCTTGTTTTTTTTTCCCATTGTCCATCATCACAGAAGAATTGGAAATATTTTGAAGCAATGCTAGGTTTTCTAGTTTTATTATTTGAGAAAATTGGAAAGCTAGAATTGGATGCATCTTGGATGTTAGTCATTTCATTTTGATTAACCTATTTCCGTATAAAAGAGCATATCAATAATCTACTATGAAATCATAAGTTTCATGCTAATACTACGAGAGAACAACAGAAACTTGAAGAGATGTTTCAAGTAAAGATGACAAGATCAGAGAGGCAAAAAAAGTTAAAAACTATAAGCTGACAATTTCAAAGTGTGGGATCCTACGCTCTAAATACTGATGGTTCAACACTTGACTCTCCTGAAAAAGCAGGGTGGGATTATAATATAAGGAGATCAAGGAAACTGTATATATGTTGGATGCAAGTATGTTGGAACAGGTTACAGTATAAATGTTGAAATACAAGCAATACTGGCTAAACTGGAAAAATGTAAAACTTTACCATTATCTAATGTCCAAGTTCGATCGGATGACCAGATGGTAGTCTAGTCAATATGCTCAATCAACAATAGGAAAATGAAATGATCTGGAAAGAATAGAGTCAATACTTCAAAGAAATGGTAGTCAATACTTTGAACAAATGGCTGCACAATAATGCACATATGTGTGTGTGTGTGTAAGAGGTAGTATACAATGTGGAAATGATGAGTAGTGAAAACATATATTGAAGAACAAAAAGTGTGATTGATGTGTAATACTACAACATTCCTATTTTGTTGACACTTTACTCTTGAAATTTATCTTTCACTAAATATGACCTTTTGGGGGGGGGGGGGGAAATCCAGGACCGTACCTGGTGGGAGGACCCTGATTTTATTAATATAAAAAATAAAATTACAAAGGGCAGTACTTAAGACTAACCCAACCATAAAAGAAACCTTCTTACAAAAGGTTTTTTCTAAAAACTCGGTGTTTATTAATAGATGTTACCTCTAAGAAATTGTCTTACAAAGATCCACAGAATCCCATGACAGTTCTATTCAACTTGAAATAGAAATCTAAATATTTAAATTAAGAGTTTGTCTTACAAAGATTTGTTTGAAAATTCCACGATAGCTCTGTTTCCTATACTATACTACAATTATAATGGAGAAACTAAAATTCTTGGGTTATCAGATTTTGAAATGGCATAGATTTGCTATCAAGAGAAATGAGCCCATTAATCTTACGCGGAAGAGCCAAGCTATTTTCAAAATCCCTTAATAAACCTTCTCAACCAAATTTAACAAGAGCATCTGCTATAGTATTGATCTCCCAAAATACATGAATAATTTGATATTTCCTCCACTTAAGAATGTTGACTGTTTCTATTAAAAAATCATATCTCTCAGAAGCACATATCTATTGTAACTTTGCTGTCTGATTGTACTTGGACTAATTGCAAGTCATGTCTGTCGCAATATCCAAATCCTTCTAAGATACCTTGAATTTCTACATTCAGACTGTATTGATGTTGCAAATATCCGCAAGCAACTAGCTTAAATTAAGATGTCCTGCTCTTATACTAGTTCTTAAGTTGTAGATTCTCATGATACTTGAAATGTTAGTTTTAACAGAATGAATTATAGAATTAAACAGAAAATGGGCACCCTGGAAGATTGCATTGTTCCTTGCTTTCCAAATTTTACCTAAGTATGAAGGTTGGAAGTGTCATAATTATAGTTTTATTCATCGGAGAAATGCTATCCATGGAAAACCAAATTTGCAAGTAAGACCATAAGCTTTCCATGTTGACAAAGATAAATTTGTTGCTGCCTTAATGAACCTCCATACCCACTTTGCAATCAGCCATCCAAAAAATAAATGATCAATATTTTTCCTAATTATTTATCCCTAATTTGTCTACACATCAATCATGATGCGTCTTATATATAGTGAAATATGATAGTGACTGATATGACAATGAAAATAGGTAATTATCCCTTACTGATAGCTGGTTAATTGATTGTTAACAGAGTGCTTCGATGTTTTTGTCTTTTCACAAGCAATATCATATTTCATTACATAGTAACCATTGTGTTTCACAAACAACATCATATTTCATTACACAAGCAATATCATTTTATTTATTGAGAGCTGATTGACAAGGGTATTTATTTTGATTAATCTACACATATCACTTTAATGAATGGACTAATCAAGAAGAGGAAAAGTACGCTTTGTCCATTTTTAACTTATCAAAACAAGTTCGCATAAAGAAATATTGCAATACATTTTTCGTTCATTAACATAAATAAACTTTAAAGCACATGAAAGATGGTAAATATCGGCTACAAAAAAAAGTTGATAAATAAAGTCGCACCCAAAATATAATTTTTTCAAATGAAAGAAATCAAAATTCCATAAAGTTTTTAATACACTATAAATAATCAGAGTTTCATAATACTTTTTGGAAACTTCATCATTATATTCCAATTCCCTAAAGTCACTTGGGGAATACTGAAAAATACAATTTAAGAAAACAACATGATTTATCTTTAATAGGACTACAGTACAAATGGGTGGTAAAAAAAAAAGAAAATATTTTGAAAAGAAAAAGAGCTAAAAATCTAGAAAACATGAAATGATTAAATCCACTGAACTGTAAGTACTTGATTTAAGCCATGATCTCATCTAGTTTGCACTCTCTAAACCTTACTTCTGCTTTCCCAGTCCCCTCTACACGAACTATGTCACAACATTCGGCTCGATCAACCTGAAAAAGAAAAAAATATTGAGAAAAAATTATTAAGAAAAAGAGCAAGTACACAAAAAAAAAAATACAGCAAATTACTATTTACACTATTGTATAAGTCCTGATTTTGTCCACTCCACAGAAATAATCATATATACATATATATATATGTTTATCTCTTGTATAAACTAGGCTCCAGAGTCCAATAAACCATATTTTCTAAGGGGGAAGTTCTAAAGATATAAAACATTCCCAAACAATATAATGAATTGAATGAATAGAACATATAATTAAACTAACCTGAGAACGCCTCTTTGGTGACGAGAAAACATGAATTTTAGCAACAAATTCAGCTGAATGATTCCCACTTGCACTACAAGAAGGCAAATGACGAGGTACTTGCCTCGCATAAACTGTGTGAATATCATTGCTGTTTGGCATTTTCTCAATGGATTCAAAGAAAAAAACATGAGGGGCTTCACAAGGATCACCAAAGGGTCTCCTTATGTTAAACATGAACTTTGGTTGCTGCCTATTTCCTGACCAGCCACGAAATGTTTCAATTGGTGTCATTATCCAACTTCTTGCTTGGATTTTTTCATAGATATGAGCTGAATAACCCCATGAAATAGAAAATGTCCAGTTCATTTGCCTGTGGTAGCAGATTGTTTGTTGGAAAAGACGTGATTGGTCAACGTCTCCTGCCTTCATGAGGTGTTGAGCTGATTGGTAGCGGTTCATGGTAGGGAAGATTGGATCTAAGACATCCCAATGGTGAAGAGATAGAACAAGTTCCTTGGGATGGGATGACAGGAAACCTGAGTAATCCCCTCTTAAATCATTCTGTAGAATAAACAGAATAGTAATGGTGAAGAGATAACAACGATGATAACAATAATCAGTAACAATTTAAAAAAATTATCGTAATCTTGCCCTCTCCTTGATTATGTATTGATTGTATCACAATAGTAACCTTAATTCATATATATCAAACAGCATTGTAAGTCTAATTACTATGACATGATTCATGTACAAGAAATGCAACGTGGGGTATACCCTCAAAAGTTGTTAACTTATTTCCAAAAGTGGTTCTTACTTTTAAATTTTCTGTTTTGAAAAAGTTATAAGAATAAAATGAAAACAATGAAAGTATTGTTTTCTTATTTTTTAGCATGAAAAGGTTTCAAAAATAACAAAATGTATATACAATGATTATCTATTCTATCTATCCCGAAAACATAATTTAAGTTGTTCAACAATTTTAGCGCTATAAAACACATTATTTTTTCTAGCACGAAAAATATAATATTCAATAAATAATTACAGTAAACATAAAAAAATTATAAGCATTATTACATTACCTGGTGGATACCTTTATGGGGAGTTAAATTCACACCAATATCAGCTACACAAGCCATTGTCATCAAATCAGCTGAAAGATTTGAATAAGTTCTAAGGCATCGATCAATATCATTAACCAATGCTTTCACCAATGGGTAACTAAGAATAATCCCACCACCACCAAATGCTTGATTAAAATTAAACCAATGGTTTGACAAAACAAATTCAGATGGATATCCGATATAATAATACTTCTTATGATCATATTTTGAAAGCACATCAACCAAATTATCCACGAAAAACATTGTATCATCGTCTCCCATGACTAACCATCTCATTCCTTCGTGTTCTTCACGGAACAACTCGAGAATCCCATGAACCATTCGTGGCATAAGTGTGCTTCTTGGTCTGATCTCGGCTATCAGTTTGCTCAAATCATCATTGATTCTATACGCGGGCGATTTGGTAGACCATGGAAGAAGATCACCGGTAGGGTTTTTGTCAAGATAAACATAACCCCTTGTTTTATTTGGTCTCCACCATGATTCAACATAGGCTTTTCTAAAATGAAAAGTCTTTTCGGAGCCTTGAAGCCCGAAGACAATATGAGTTGCATTCGTTGGAAATTCTATTAATTTTTTTTGATAATGAAACATTAACAAAGATGATAGGGAATTGGGTTTTTGCAAGGAATTAAAAAGTTTTGAAGTAGTACAATTGGGATCACTTAAAAAAAGCACAAAAACTATGAAGAGAATCAAACCGGAGATTAAGAGTAGACGACAAAAATTTTTCACTAGAAAACTTTCTGATAGAATGTTATCAAGTTTATCTCTGATTTTTGTGGCTGTAGAAGTTATCATGATTGTGGATGATGACATTTTTTGGCTATCAAATGTTATCTTATTTGTTTTAAAACTATAAACTTTAGAAGAGAAGAAGATGATCAATGAAGAAGAAGGTGGTTATCTATGGAGTGCAAGCTTTCTTTTGTACTGGATTGCCTAATTGTTGTGCATGAGGGGAAGCATTGCGCTTTCATGCTTTTTGTTAATATAGCTCCTCAAAATAATCATAAAGAATTTGCTGTATATGCTTTGTAACATAAAAGGAAACTAAAAGGCATGCCTCACGAGTATATGTTACTTTACAACTATTTGATTTTTTGGTTATGTTTTTCTTCTGATAAGAAAATGATATATGTGTGGTAAAGTTGAATGGTAGATGTCGGACCCGGTAATGATCTCGTGCATGCATATATAGCTAGTCCATAATCACCTTTCTTTTTATATATGTATGTATACATATATATACATACATATATATATGTGTGTGTACATATATATATGTCACAGGGGTTTACATACGATTACATTAAACAGACACACCAGAAGCAGCAGAATCCTGTAAGTGAATGGGAATTATTTTTCGTGTTTCTTCTGACTAATACAATCAGCTATATAATTAAACACATAAGAGTTAATAACATTATACATCAAACAAAATCAAATTAAAATAGTAAAAGATTAATAAACTAACCTCTAGTTGCCTATTTGGTGATGAGAAAACGTGAATTTTATTGATATATTCAGCAGAATGGTTCCCACTTACCCACAAGAAGGCAAATTGACTTCCTTTTCTTGCATAAAGTGTATGAATCTTATTGTTGTTTGGCATTTTTCCATTGAATCCAAAGAAAAAAAAAACGTGAGGTGCTTTACAAGAATCTCCAAAGGGTTTCTTTTTCTTAAACATGAACATTGGTTCCTGCATACTTTTTTGTCAACTGCAAAAAAGTTTCAATCGGATTCATTAGGCAACTTTTGGCTTTAATTTTCTAAAAACGTGTGTTGAATAACTCACAAGAAATGGAGAATGTCTATTTTATTTTTTATGATTACACATTCATTTGTTCAAAAGACGTAATTTTTCAACGTTACCCATCTTCAAGAGACATTGAGCTGATTGGGAATGATTAGTAGTAGGAAAGATTGGGTATAAGATATCTCAACAATGAATGGATATACCAGTTCTTTAGGACAAGTGTAGTATATAATATGGAAAATGATGAGTAGTGAAAAGCATATATTGAAAAAAATATATAATGATTGACATGTAATATTAATCTCCCTATTTTGTTGATATTTTACTGTTAAAATTTATCTTCTGCCAAAATTATACATTTATCTCTAGTTGAGTAGGCATCAATCATAATGCATCTTGTAAAAAGTGAAATAAGATAGTGACTAAGGTAGAACTAGTAAAAATACATAATTATCCCTTATTTTATATATCATTAAATTATTATTGAAAGATTGCTGCGGTGTTTTTGTCTTTTCACAAGTATTATCATATTTTATTACATATAATCATTATCTCTATTATTGTGGTGCATCTTTGTTTTTTTTTTGTCCTTTTTCTATAATTCTACACTCTTTTCACAGTTACTGTAGCTTGGCCCCTAGACAACTAGTTCGTTATCAAATTAAGATATTTAGTTTGCTACAGATGAAGTATAAAATATATTGTCATCTTGTGCGTTTTTTTCCCCGTAAATGTACGCTTTGCCCATTTTTAACTTATCAAAGGAAATTAGGATATGTTTTTCTTTTCTTAACATAAATAACCATTTTTCCTTCTTCAAATGCAAATTAAACTGAAGAGGAGTTAACTACAAATGATTTCAGTACTGAAAAAACCAAATAAAACAACAAAATAAGTGGTTCAACAATCATTAAATCTCGCAGACCATGCCCTAAGTTCCGCCTCAAGTTTCCGAGAAGCCCTTGAGTTAGAGTCTTTTTGGAAACCGGTGTCTGCCTTCAACATTCTAATTTCACTTTCCATGATAGCTCGGAAATGTTTCTGGTGACAGCCAAGCATCGACTTCCACATTGTAATGAGCCCGTGAATTAGGCCAGCAACTTGTGGTTGAAGCTCCTCATCATCTCCTAACTTGTCTATCCTGATTGTTATAACAGTAATTGTTTTGAAGCAAAATTTTAACTTGGTATCTGAGTTTCGAATGGAAGCACGCATGGCATCAATTTTGTTGGGTTCAGCACCATTCTTATCCAAATGAGTGAGTTGTTCGCACTGCTTTTTGTTAATAATCCGAAGTTTCTCTTCTGCCTTCACCGCCTTGTAAAAATTTTTTTCCCACACATACAACTTCTCCAATGTGGATGAAAGGTTATAAGGCGACTCAATGCCTTCCCAATGATCCCCGAAATATTATTTAGCGAATTTATGAGTTTTGGAAGCTAATCTTGCAGAGGTTGTCGATGGCTGAAAAGATTCACCGGATGATGATTTTAGAAGCCTTAAGAGTAATCCTTTAAGAAAACTATATCTATATGGCAGCTTTCCAACCTCAAGCATCAGCACAACCTCTTTCCCATATTCAGTAGCAACTACAAACTCATCACGTATCTCAGCCACCACTTCCCAGAGATCGCGTGTACCATGTGTTGACAATGCAGCCATTTCAAAGGATTCAAAACCAGGCTTCGGATTCTCATTCTTATAGATATCCTATTTTTACAACTAAATTCAAACATAAATAGTTTTCATAAAAAGAAAAGATTCTTCCACTACAGAATCATGACCAACAATACCATCCACTCTTCTCCATTGTTGTCTGCATCAGCTCCCACATCTTCCTTCTTGGTGAGCTTCTTCACCAACCTTTTCAAGACACCTAGTTTTGAAGTTATGCCTTCACCATGGTAGACTTGATGGTGTGGTCTCCAGTGAATTGGTGACCAAAGTGCTCGAGAACTTCCGAGGAGCTGCCAACACGAACAACATTACCAACAATGAACAAGCCACACTCCACTAATGCTGCAATCACCAAGGTGTTAGACCCAAACTCTAAGGCACTCGAGCAATTTTTAGAGAGGTCATTTTCAAGCTAATTCCACGATTCGTTATTTGCCTTTTCAATAGCTTAGATTTACACGAAATGGTTAGAGTTCACATACACATTTGCCACCCCTTTTACAACTCTAGGTTCAATGACAAGGCTTCATAGAAGCCTACTTGTCAATCAATTCAGCCTTACATCCTTGGTCAAATGATAATCTCAGTCTCTTCAACATAGCAAGTTGATGAAATCTAAGAGAAGCAGCGGCGGTAACATTTTGTAAAAAATTTTGGGGGCTGATCAAATATTTCCCTAAAGCTTTACGGTGAAATCGGTGTCTTATTGTAAAACCATGAAACCACAAGTATCACTGAGATATACTAAATAGTTTTCAATTTTCTTTCTTCTTCATCATCAGATTTCTCATGATATGAAATTTTAGCCATTGGCTCTCATAAATTTCAGCCACCTTCTGGATCCCCTTCATGGCAACCCCAACTAAGGGCTTTTCCTTTAACAAAAAAAAAAAAAAAAAGGAGGCTGAAGGGGTAAAAGCAACCAGTTACTTCCGGTTATAGCTAATTTGTTAGGGAAACTTTGGTTGCCTGGGGGTCCGTAGACTCCCCAGAACTACGTTGCTTTCACCCATATTAATCATTATCTATTGGTTCCAACATGTTATCTGATTCCTCTTGGACTTTCGTTCATTTGAATAATTTTGTTGTCCTTAAGCATGATGGCGATGGTTCTCACCTCAAGGGGCTACTCATTAATTTTCTTTACACTTATTAGTCATCCTTGTTGTGAATTACATCTTTTTTACAAGATCACTCCACTGTACAAGGTTTTTCATAAGTAATGTAAAAGCAAGTGAACTATTTTTATTCAACATATGAATTTGATTCATGGTTTTAAAAAGTTGGTAGTACTGGCATAATTTTTTGGAGAGTTAAATATTATAAGAGACTTTGAACACACTCCACTGATGAATGTATGGACTATTTTAGAAATATGGAGAAATACAAACGACAGATTGTCTGCGAGGATGAGCCTAACATGGCAGCTGTAAAAATTTTCTTTAGTACATTATGATGAGAAAATGGTTTGCACGATCACGGATTGTGAAAAAAAAACACTAACAAAAATGATTAAGAAAAAGATCAAAACAAAAAGAAAACACATTATACTATTATTTCCATTATTATAAAAGTCTTGCATTAAAAGAGATTATTCATTTTCTCCCCTCTAAAGAAATAATCATATTTATGAATCTCTTGTAAACACTAGAGTCTCCAAAATCCAATGGTCTATATTTTCTGGGGATGATAACAATCTAAATCTATAAAACATTTCCTAAAAAACATATTCAATTGAATTAATTATATAATTACATTAACTAACCTTGAAACTCCTTTTTAGTGATGAAAAACCTTGAATTTTAGCGAGAAATTCAGCTGAATGATCCCCACTTGCACTACAAGAAGGCAAATTACGAGGTTCTTGCCTTGCATAAGCTGTGTAAATCTCATTGTTCTTTTGCATTTTCTTAATAGATTTAAAGAAAAAAATTGAGGGGTTTCACAAGAATCATCAAAAGGTCTCCTTGTTAAACATGAACTTTGGTTGCTGCCTATTTTCTGACCACATATGGAATGTTTCAATTGGTGCCATTATCCAATTCTTGCTTGATTTTTTTTTCCATAAATGTGAGCTGAATAACCCCATAAAATGGAGAACATCCAATTCATGTGTCTGTGGTGTTGAACTAATTGGTAGTAATTCATGGTCAGAAAAAATATATCGAAAACATCCTAATGGTGAAGGATAGAACAAATTTTTTGGGACGTGATGATAGGAACCCTGGGTAATCCCCTCTTAAAATATTCTATGACAAAAGAAGCAAAATAATAATATTGAAGAGATAACAACAATGATAACTTATTATCAGTAACAAAAATGATTCATTCACGAAGTTATGCATGTTTCAAACAACATTATCAGAAGTTTTCTGTCTCCTAGTGGATTAATTGTATCACATTACAAAACTTAATAAATGGAAACAAAATAATGATTTTGCATAATTAATATGACATGATTAATGTACAACATTTGGAATATAAAAGTTGCTGCCATATTTCTAAAAGTCCAAAAGTGGTTCAACAATTTAACTTTGAAGAAGTTACAAGATTAAAAAAGAAACACATAAAGGCTCATTTTTTCTTTTCTTTTTTTAATTTTTGTTTTTACTTTTATTTTTATTTTTTATTTTTTATTTTTTATTTTTTTTGCTTTAGCATGAAAAGGTTCCAACAAGAACTAAATGTAGATATAATGATTGTGTATTCCATCCATTCAAAAACATGATTTTCTTTATTGAACAGTTTTAGTTCCACAAAGTAAACTATTTTTTTCTGACTCGGAGATTATAATTCATTCAATAATTGACTATTAGATTACCTGGTGAAAATCTTTATGAGGAGTTAAATTCATGCTAGTATCAATTAGACAAGCCATTGTCATCAAATTAGCTAAAAGATTTGAATAAATTCTAAGGCATCTATCTATATCATTAGCCATAGGCTTTCACCAAAGGATAACTCAAAATAATCCTGCCAACCCCAAATGACTGATCAGAATTGAACCAATGGATACCTTCAAGTGTAATAAAACTTCTCATTATTATACTTCGAATGCACATCCACCAAATTATCCACGAAAAACAATGTGTCATCATCTCCCTTGACTAACCATCTCATGCCTTTGTGTTTTTTGTGAAATAACTCGAGAATCTCTTGAACCATTTGCAGCTTAAGTGCAATTCTAGTCTTGATTTCGGCTAGTAGTTTGCTCAAATCGTCGTTGATTTTATACAAAGACGATTTTGTAGACAATAAAAGATCATCAGTAGGGATTTTTTCAAAATATATGAGGCTCTTGTCTTATTCTGTCTTCACCAGGATTTGACATAAGCGTTCCTGAACCTTGAAGCCCAAAAACAATATGAATTGCAATTTTTGGAGATTCTAATAATTGTTCTTAATTGGCATTTGCAAAGAATGGAAGAGCTTTAAAACAGTACACAATTGGGATGTATGGGAAAAAAAATACAAAAACTATGAAAAGAATTAAACGGAGATTAAGAGTAGACGGCAAAAAGTTTTCACTAGAAAACTTTCTGATGAAATGTCATCAAGTTTTTCTCTCATATTTCTAGCTGTAGAAGTCATTATGACTGTGGATGGCGAAGGTTTTTGGCTATAAAATGTGAGTTTATTTGTTTTCAAACTATAGATTTAAGAAAAGAGAAATGAAGATAGTCGATCATCTCTTTCTTCTTCTTGGCATTGTAGAGCATTCTTTTGTATTGGATTGCTTAATTTTTTTGCATGTGGATTGTAGTTTAATGCCTTTTGTTAATATTGCTCCTCAAAGTAATCATAACGAATTTATTAAAATATTTTTTAAAGAAAAAGGACAATAAATGGCATGACTCACGAGTATATTTTATTTTTCCACCCTTGAATTATGTAGTTATTCTTTTTCTTATGAGAAATATTATATACATTCAGTGAAAACATATAGTAGATATCAGACCAGTCAATGATTTAGTGCATTTTGGCATAACAATTACATAATATCCTTTTAGTATGTTAGTATTGATAAAAAGCATGCGGTTTTATTATTTTATTCATTTCTATCACGTTATACTATGAATTTTTAGTGGTTATATTATCATTCTTTTAATGGAATTAGTGATTATACATGAGTTTGAAATTTTTCTTAAAACATTTGGATATTATTTATTATTTTCGTAACTTAAATAGTATGTGTTCAACCTTTATTGTATTGGATGAAAATGTATTAAACCTCCTTGCGAATTTCTTGCAGGATCCAATTACCCTTCCTTATTCTATAAAAAGACAACTATAATATCCATAGATATTGATAATAATTAATATTAATTTTTTATAAAAAGATAATTATAACATCCCTAGTTCTTAATAATAATTAATATTAATTATTCTTTATAAAAAGACATCAATTCCTAGTTCTTTATAATTATTAATATTAATTTTTTAATTTGCCTTTATTCTTAATGGATGTAACTAATTTACCTTTCTCGAACAAGATTAAACATGTTCTATATGTTAAGTTCTACTCAAATGACAAAAAAAAAAAAAAAATACTTGATATGTACAACTATTTTATTTTGTTTTCAGTTAGTTAAAGTTTAAACTCACATGCAGGAGTTAGGCTTTCTTTAATAAAAATAAAATAAAATAAAAGTAGGCTTAGTTTATTTCTACGTCCAATTTGAGATAATATGATTGATTTAATCTTTGTACTTAGTTCTATTTTAACATTTTTAATTTTTATTCTTCCCAACGAGGATAGTTTCTTTCTCACATCTTCCTATCCCTTTAAAACCTATCCCATAAAAAAATGCCCCCCTTTAATTAATTTTTTTCTCTGAAAATAAACCAAAAAAAATGAAAGAAAAGAAAATGTTATATTCTCAGGTAATCATATGTCCATGTTTTGCAAACATTATTCAGGAAAGACGGTCTTTCTTTCTTTCTCATGTTAAAGAAAAGGATATTAAATATCTAGTTTGCTTTTAGTTTTGTAAATATCTAGTTTTACTTAATTACTAAAAAGTGAAAGTATTGGAAAAGACTGTTGATAAACCTTGGGTGGTAGCTGGTGACTTCGATACAGTATTGAGCCAAGAGGAAAAACTAGGAGGGACCCCTGTAACTGCCAGTGATATTGGGGAGTTTAAAATGGCTATTGAAGACTGCCAGCTCTAGCATTTAGTTACTAATTGTGGGAAGTTTACCTGGAACAACAAGCAGTTGGGAACAAGCAGAATTAATGGAAGGTTGTATAGAGTACTTCTGAACAGTGATTTGATGCTGCAATATGATGAAAGCTACGACACAGTATCACCATAAGGGATTTCAGATCACTATCCATTATTGATTCAATGGTTGTATCAAGAATGCCGAAACGAGAAATTCTTTTGGTTCTTCAGCATGTGGGTAGAAGATGCTGAGTATCATCAGTTGGTAGAAAAGTATGGAAGGTACTTGTGTGTACCAACTAGTACAAAAGAAAAAGAAGTTAAAACCAGTCCTTCGAGATCTGAATAAGAGGAAGTTTTCTAATATTGACCATCAAGTCAAGGAAGCCCAATTACAAATGGAACAGATTTAGAAGGAGTTGCAGTAAGCACCACAGGATTAGACCTTGCATCAGAAGGAGAAAGAAGCAGTTGAAAACTATGTGGAGATCGGTAACAAAGCCTATAGTTATTGGCAGCAGAAAGTTAAGGAACAGTGGACTCAAAAAGGCGATATGAATAAAGCATACTTTCATCTTGTATTAAGGCAAAAACAGAAGAGGAACAGAATCTTATCATATACAAATGAAGATGGTGTGATAATTGATTAATGGGAAGACGTGGAGGAGCATTTCTTATCATATTATAAACAGCTACTAGGCAGAACAGAAATAAGATCCAAGGTGTCAGTGATATGGGAAGGAATCTCACAGTTGAACAGCAGTTAGGTTTGGTTGCAGATGTGACAGAGAAAGAAATCAAGCAAGCCATGTATTCTATCCATGAATCGAAGAGCTCGGGGCCTGATAAATTAACAGTGGTCTCTTTCGGAGAATATGGAAAGTGGTTGGCCAAGCAATAGTTGCAGCAATAACAGAATTTTTTCAGACTGGGAGATTACTGAAGGAATTGAATGCTTACCTTAATACCGAAGAATGAGTCACCCCAAACAGTAGCCGAGTTCAGACCCATATCTTGTTGTAATATGCTTTACAAGTGTATTACAAAGATATTGAGCAATAGGTTGTCTCAAGTATTGCCTGATATTGTGGAAAAGAATCAGGATCCTTTTGTTAAGGATCGTCTGATAATACACAATGTCCTTTTGCCTCAGGAAATGATAAAGGCTTACAATCGGAGAAATGTGTCACCCTGATGCATGATGAAGGTGGACCTCCAAAAGGCGTATGATTCCGTAGCTTGGACATTTATAGAGGAAGTCTTATATTCCTATAAATTTCCAGGTAAATTCATTCAGTGGTTGATGGAGTGCATTACCTCTTGTCATTATTCTTTGTGTTTAAATGGGGGATTGACAGGTTACTTTGAAGGAAAAAGGGGTATCAGGCAAAGGGAACCAGTGTCCCCGCTGATATTTGTGTTGTGTATGGAATATCTAAGTCGCATGTTTAGGTTTGAAGTTGCAAAGGGAGGGTTCCATTTCCATTCTAAAGGTCATAGGTTGCAGATTACCAATCTTTGCTTTGCGGATGATCTAATCATCCTGTGCAAAGCTGATTTGGTAACAATTAAAAGGGTGAAGGAAGTCTGGGATAAGTTTACAGAAGCCTCAGGGCTAAAGGCTAATTTGATGAAGTCACAGATTTTCTGTGGTGGGATTTCAGAGGATGTGAAGGAGGAGATCCAATGGATAACAAGCTTTAGTAGAGCATCATTTCCAATGAGATATTTGGGTATTCCAATATCTCCAACAAAATGGTCAGCCCTTGATTGTCAAGTTTTAATGGACAAAATTGCAGCCAGAATCAATTGCTGGACTACAAGACACCTGTCGTATGCAGGACGGGTTGTGCTGGTAAACTCAATCCTTCTCTCTTTACATTCATATTGGGCTTCTATGTTTGTTATTCTGAAAAGTATTATGGTGCAAGTTTTCAGATTGTGTACAGAATATCCGTGGGGAAAAAAATGGTAGAGCTTATTCTCTGGTAGCATGGGAAGAGATGTAAAACCTAAGAAATGTGAGGTTTAAAAATTAAGAACCAATTATATGGAATAAGACAGCCTTGGGAAAGCAAGTGTGGGATTTGGTTGGGAAGAAAGATAATTTGTGGGTGAAATGGTATCATGAGTACTATCTAAAAGGATGTTCTCAGTGGGATTATCAAACTGGAACAGGAGACGGTTGGTCTTGAAAAAAACTGATGAAGATTAGAGATATAATTAAACCAGGAGTTAAGGATGGTAAATGGTAGCTGATAAAACTGAAACTTATAGCACCAGGTCTGGTTATGAGTGGCTTAGAGGAGAAGGACAGAAATTCCCTGTTGCAGCTATCATTTGGAGCAACTGTAACCTACCTAAGCATAGCTTCATTTTGTGGCTGGCTTTAAAAGGAAGGTTATCAATGTCAGAGAGATTGCAGAAGCTGCACATCATACAGCAACCTGTGAAGTGTATGCTGTGCGGAAATGAGGATGAAAGCTTGGAGCATTTGTATTTTAAGTGCAGGTATTCCCAACAGTTTTTATAGAAGATCAAGGACTGGTTGATGTGTAATAGAATTTTAGACAGATTGTCCCAATGGAAGTCAAGAATGAGGAAGATTTGGAACTAGAGTAAGGTGAAGCAGCAGATTGTCTATAGTGCTGGTGGAGCTTTGGTTTATCACCTGTGGCAGCAGAGAAATGTTGTAATGCATGGAGCTAGGATCAGAAGTGTAGATGATATGGTGAGACTAGTTCAGTAGGAAGTAAGGTGTAGAGTTAAATTTTGCTGTAAGAAGTATAGAACATCTTAGAAAGAGTATATGCAAAGCATAAGAATCATGCGTTAAAATAGTGTAAAAACATGTAATAGAAAAGTGAGCCTTGTATCCAAACTTGAATGTGTTGTGATAGATTAATACAATTAACCTTTCATCAAAAAAAAGGTGAAAGTATTCAAAAGAACATAAATTTAATTGATTTATTTTTGGTTTCACATAAAAGAACGGATTAAATAATGCACGACAAATAATATAAAATTTTCTTCTTCCAATATTGATTCTTCAATTGCTGGTGAACCATTGATTAACTGCTTTGGATCCCTAAAATTATATTCAAGTTTAATATAATTTAAGCTATAATCTCATCTATTTTGCACTCTCTAAACCTTACTTCTGCTTCTCCGGTCCCCGCTACACGAACTACATCACAACATTCAGCTCTATCAACCTGGATTAAAAACAAAGGGAAAAAAAAAAAAGAAACAAAAAGGAAGAACACGGATTAATAACAAAAGAAATGTAAACCCATTATGAACACCAATTAAGTGCAAATACATCCTATTATTTACTTCTAAAAAAGTCAGTAATTATTAATGTCCTTTGTTTGAGTGAAACTAATTAGAAAGAAAATCGTAAAAATTTTCACTAGTGAGGATTGAAATTTGTATATTATTTCTAGTGATCAATTGGGGATATTAATATGAAATAAAATAATAGTTAAGGTAGGTTGACACATAAATTTATAAGTTGTACTACTATTACACATAAATTTTCCTCGTTCAACATGAAAAGTATTAGTGCTAGAATTTATTTATTTACTCTATTTAGTTTTAGAGTATGGTTTTAAAATGTGAATGGGAAAAAATGTAGACTGACTCCAGTGGGGTTATTGGGTTCCCAAATAAAAAAAATTAACTTTCAAAAAATCCATGAGCTTTTTAAAACAGTGGGTTATTTTTCATGTTCTTTAAGAGTAATACAATCAGCTATATAATTAAATTAACAGGTGAATTAATATTATACATCAAACAAAATTATATGAAGAGAGTAAGAAATTAATTAACTAACCTCTGGTCGCCTATTTGGCGATGATAAAACGTGAAGTTTGTGGACAAATTCAGCAGAATGATTCCCACTTACACCACAAGAAGGTAAATTACGAGATCCTTGCCTTGCGTAAATTGTATGAATCTCTTTGGTGTCTGACATTTTTTTGATAGATTCAAAGAAAAAAATGTGAGGAGCTTCACAAGGATCACCAAAGGGTCTCGTTGTGTTAAACATGAACTTAGGTTCTTGCTTACTTTTTCGCCAACCGCGAAATGTTTCAATTGGAGACATTAGCCAACTTCTTCTCTGAATTTTCTCATAAATGTGTGCTGAATAACCCCAAGAAATGGAGAATGTCCAGTTCATTTGCCTGTGATGGCAGATTGTTTGTTGAAAAAGACGCGATTGGTCTACATTTCCCGCCTTCATAAGATGCTGAGCTGATTGGAAGCGGTTCATGGAAGGGAAGATTGGATCTAAGACATCCCAATGGTGAATGGATAGAACAAGTTCTTTGGGATGAGATGATAGAAAGCCTGAGTAATCCCCTCTTAAATCATTCTAGGAAAAAAAAAGTTAATAATTAGTTACAATAATGGTTCATGCATGACTTAATTGTTGTATTAGTTTTGTGTGTGTATTAAAATGCTAATGAATTGAGTATCATATACAACACAGTTGTAGAATCTATATTTTTTTTTCTGTTTCATTCATTGCTTGTTAACCATATCACCATAATTACTTTAATAGTTTATAATAACGTCACTATATGATAAAATGTCACTAGTCAAATTAATTAATAAGACACGATTAACATAAAATAATTGAAATATGACATGGCAAGACATGGTTAGCCTTCTTTGGAAAACCTTTGAAAAAGGTATTTCATTATTATTATTACAGAACAAAAATGGTAATAGAGACAAATGTTTTCCCTCTTAGCATGGTAGGTTCAAAGTACAGAAAGAGAAATTCTTTAAGAAGATAATTAACATATTGTGCAAATAATGGATAAAAATAAACATTAGTTAAAAAAAATTTAAGACATAAATTACCTGGTGAACACCGTTATTGGGAGTTAGATTCACACCAATATCAGCTATACAAGCCATTATCATCAAATCAGCAGAAAGATTTGAATAAGTTCTTAGGCATCGATCCATATCATTAACCAATGCTTTAGCCAAAGGATAACTTAAAATAATCCCACCACCACCAAAGGCTTGATTAAAACTGAACAAATGGTTGGGCAAAACGAATTCAGAAGGATACCCAATGTAGTAATACTTTCTATGATCATATTTTGAAAGCACATCCACCAAATTATCCACAAAAAACATCGTATCATCGTCTCCCATGATTAACCATCTCATCCCTTCGTGTTCTTCGCGAAACAACTCCATAATCCCATGAACCATTCGCGGCATAAGCACGCTTATAGGGTTGATTTCTTCAATTAACTTGCTTAAATCATCATTGATTCTATACCTCGGCGATTTGGATGACCACGGGAGAAGATCACCACTAGGGTTTGTGTCAAGATAAACATAACCCCTCGTTCGGTTCGGTTTCCACCATGATTCAACATATGCTTTTCTGAAATGATAGGTTTTTTCAGAACTCTGGAGTCCAAAAACCAAATGACTTACATTTGTTGGAGAATCAATTAATCCTTCTTCATTAGGAAGTGTTAATGAAGATGAAGATGATGATGAAAACTGGGTGTTTGGTCTTTGAAAGGTATATGAAAGCTTCAAAGAACTACAACTTGGATCATTGAGAAATAGAACAAAGGCTACAAAAAGAATTAAACCAGAAACTAGCGCTAATCTGCAAAAGTTTTTTACCAGACAACTTTTTGATAATATGTTGTCAAAATTTTCTTTGATATTTCCAATGGTAGAAATAACCATGGGTGAAGACATTTCCCACTATTCAATAAATTTTGTCAAGATTATTAATTATGAGAATAGGAAATGATGAATCAATGAGCCTTTTGGTTGGTGTTTATATACTGATTATAATATTGCTTTAAAAGTTATTATATTTTGTTACCTTATTTCATTTGGTTAGTCAATAATTGATATTTATGTCAGATTCATAATATATAATGAACTTATAAGGATGTAAATTGCCACCTAATTAATTAGCATTTAGTCAACAATAAATAGTTCAAATTATATCCTTTTGAGGTTTGGTAAGATGAACGAATTAATAAGGAACCTTTTTTGGTTATTCCTAAAATCTTTATGTTTTATTAGTTTATAACATTAAAGTCTTAAGATAATTCTCTAATTAATGCTAAAGATATTTGGTCATTTTCTGACTTGGGATAATTTGGTAAGTGACATTAGATATATAAATAAAAAATGTAAGAATCCCGTAACAAAAATGTTGGTTGTTTGACTCTGTGTTGCCCAGACAATAATCTCGTATTTTGGAGCCGTACTCTTGAAATGTCTACAACTTAATTATAAAACCTAGTCACTGTTCCTTTTTCTTTCTTTTTTTTTTTTTTTGGTTGCCACTATTATTGACAACAATGTGTATCTAAACATATAACATGATAGGCAAGCAACAACAACTGAAGGAATTGGAATTTATCAACTCAAAAAAAAAAAAAAGGAAGAGCGAGAGAGAGATAGAGCTAAAATTAGCCTATCTCTCAAAATCTTCAAGCTCCATTAATTAGTCTAACCATCATCAATACAGTTAGATATGCAAAACAGTTTTAACATTAGTACACTTGAAAAATTAACTTAAGTATTTCATAAAATGACTAACAAACAAAAAAGTGGTGACATAAACAAAAGTGGGCCTCTGTCTCACTTTGGCAGTATTGCGAGAAAGTCACTAGTGTAATGACTAACACCCATCTGGCTGATCTGGCCCAATAATTATTTTTTATTTTGTTTACAATAAAACTAAAAGTGTCCAAAAAAAAAAAGTGCCCACCCGAGATTGCAGAGAGATTACCTTGCACCGAATTTCAGAAAATTTGTGCATGCATAGTTGTCCTCGGATGAAAGGTCAAATCAAGTTTGATTTAATGGTTAAAAAACACTCATCAAAATTTGTCACCTTGTAAATTGTAAATTGTATTAAAACAGGATGCTTTATAAGTAAAATATAGACTATTTTTGTGTAATGGAAGAATTACTTGCCAATTTTGAGGATTACAACATGTTAACAAATTATTGGAGGTGTGTACGTAGAGCTATTAATCACAACGAAAAATTAATGATCATCTATTCGGATGATGCTATTTCTGATTTTTATCGGAGATAAGGCAATTTCATGATTATAATTAGGGTCCCATTATAATTATTGTCTTTCTAGGGGAGCAAAATAAATTTAAGAGGGAATATGCACTATTTTTTGGGGTAATACACAAGAACCCCTCTATGGTTTTAGAAAGCACACAAAAACCCCCATATGGTTTAAAAAGCACACGAGAACCCCCTTGTACTTTTTCCAAATGTGTAAATTGGATGGAAACCGTCTAGACTAACGTTGTTAAAGAAAAATCCCTTCCTACCCCTGATATAAGAAACCCATTAAACCACAAATTCATTTCATCCAAAAAAGAAATCAACCCCTTTGAATCTCTGCATCTTAATATGTTCATCCAAGAAATTTCCTTGAGCTGCTGCAAGTCATTCTTCTCCACTTTTTTTTTTCTTTGTGTGGGTTTTGTGTGGTTCGAATCTTAACTTGGTGAAGTAGATGAATCTTGTCATAATAACAATCAAATTAAGGAGTTACCTCATAAGTAATAGTGAATCAATTACTCTTCTTTCTATTCTACAACAATAAAATACCTCAAACACCAACTCCATTGATTTTAGTAAATTGAACATTCCTTGAAACATATAGTAGGACAGAAAATCCGACCTAAATATCCTTCTTTACTCCATTTTATAATGCACATTACCAAGAGAAAAAAAAAACCATACACGCGCACACACAATCACTGCAATTGTAGTTCACAAAATTAATACCCTAATCAATTTTCTAATTTTTTAAAATTAATTAGAGAAATTCAACATTCAACTCCGCTCCCACGTCAATAAACATCTTTGATTTCTTCACCTTCCAATTAATGATTCCAATGGACTTTTCTTGAACCTGAGTGCCAACCTTTATAAGAAATGGGCTCACACCATTTCCAGAAAAGATATCCACCCCCTCCATCTCAATCTCTCACGTACGAAATACAACTATCTTTAAAGGATTTATTGGGATACACCAAAATTTTCAATCCTCCTTCCTACAACAAAAACGGTACTCACACCTTGACCGTGGCTCCAATTATAATTTGTCCTCTATACTAGAGATAAGCTTTAGGCTAAGGATATTTTGGGAACAAAAAATATGTTTTCTAGAGTCCCAAAAAGTCCACGCACCATTATTTGTAGAAGTCCCTTACGCATCGTTAGTTTATACAGTTTCCGTTCAATTTACACATTTGAGAAAAGTACGAGGGGGTTCTCGTATTCTTTTTAAACCAGGGGGGTTCTTGTGTGTTTTCTAAAACCATAGGGGGGTTCTTGTGTATTACCCTCCCCCCTTTTTAAACATCAAATTACATACACATTTTTGTCACTAATAGTTATAATAGTATGTGGTTCATTTTTTTGTTTTTTAAGATATATATTTATTTAATTGAAAATTATAGAAAAAACAGTTTCAAATTTGACAAGTTATTTTTATAGGAAAAAAAAAATACTTCTTTATATACATCAATACCAATACAAGAAAAGATATTAATATGATTAACTTGAATGACATCAAGATTTTTTCACCGGGCAAGAAGATTCGGACAAGTTTACAATTTTAGTTTTTTTTTATTAACTGTTTTAATACAGTAAAACTCTTATTTTGGGCTTTTACATATGTTTTATTTTGAGTCTTGATTTTTATTTTAAATGCATATTCTTATAATTCATTTGGGCCTTGACTTACCGTCTCTTATTATTAAATGGACATTTATGTGTCATTTAGAAAATATCAAATTACTACATTTCTTTTTGTAACACTTTGTTATTTCATAGAACTTCACTTAAAATTTACATATAATCAGTTCTAAAAAAATAATTGTTCAAATAGTTTATGTAAATTAGCCGAAATTTTTTAATCATTATCGTAAAGTTCTTCAAGGGGATGCGGAATAAACAAATTATATATATATATATATATATATTTTGAAAAACAGTGAGGGTGTCGTTGTTCCGACTGGCCACCCCAGCTCCGTCACTGTCTTCCAACTTAGTCTGATCATAGCTTGAGCTCTATCAAATATATTTATTTGAAATATTTTATTTTTTCTAAAATAATTTTCCTATTTGAATCTTTACGTTTAGTATAATTTATACTTTAAATAAAAATCCAAAATGATCGGTCATTATAGGACCGACAAAGTAATACTTTTTTCTCAAGCAAAGCAGTTAAGCAAAGGAATGAAATTATGTTGTTCACTAACATTTTCTAGAGTGAAGTCCGAGAATTAGCCCCAACTTATCCTGTCTTATCTCATCTCTGTAATCATGGATGAGCTCTTTCAGGCTTTTCAAAGTTACTTCTGATTGTAAGTTCTAGTGTAATTTACGCATGTTAGACTGTTAAGTTTCACCGAATAGCTCAAAATTCAGTTATTTCAATTACATTAAATGATCTTTCAAATTGATCAAGGCTCCAGTTCATAGCCGCTTCTCTGTTGTTTCACTAAATTTGAAGGAATAGGGTCTCCTCATCTCTGATTCCTTCTTCGGGATCTAACGGAAAAGTAACTGAAAGCAGTAAATGGCTATAAACATTTTTTTAATCCCATTAATAGAGCATTCCCTTTTGCGAAACTTCGCAATCAGCCCCTTAACTATGGTTTTGGCGTTGAGAATGATTTGCAGATTAAGATGGCATTTATCATGATTTGTTCTAATCTACCGCAACCTAAATTTAGGTGTTTGATTTTAAACCAAAAAAGAAAAATAAAAAAAAAGAGGAAAAAAAGTTTTCACGGTACTTTTTCTACTCTCATAGTTCTGCATTGCACCGGAATTGACATGTCGGTCAACTTTTGTTTGACCTTTGTAGGTTCCACTTCCGTTGTAATAACCTAGGTACTTCTAAAATATGAATAGATGCAGATTGAAAAAAAAAATAAAAAAACTTGTGTTTGATATTTCTTTACAAGATTAGGACGTTTTAGCTATTAGATAAATTCTTGGAGAAGTATTTGATATTAATTCAAAAAAAAAGAAGGGGAAAGAAAAACAAAAGGACATTAAAAAGGAAGACTGCCCGCGTGGACCAGAAAACGCCGATTATTTATGTCGTTGCCGGACAATGTCCGAACGGCGGCGTCGAGGTACGAAGCTTCCAGCTCCGGCGCCAGTGGTCAAAATGCAAAACCAGAAGAAGGTTTGGTTCTATTCCCTGCTGCTCACGATACAATACGGAGCCCAGCCTCTCATCTCTAAAAGTTGCACGAGGTTTTTCTCATTCTTCTTCTTCAGTCATCGGCTCAGTTCTTCTAATTGTTAAGGCTTTTTCAGTCCCAATATTGATAACATATCTGAAATCTTGTTTAACTCTTCCGTCTGTTTTCTTCTAGTTGAGTGTAGTCTGATTTTGTTTTCCTTCATCTGTTTTTTATCTTCAATTATCCGTTAGTCAATCCTAAGAATCGATTAAGAGCTACTAAGGTCATGTTTTGAAGTTATTTTCTGTTAGTTCAAGCTTTGCTCGATTTTTCTTTGCTTTATTTGTTATGACTGTCGGTTTTAGTAGTGACATTTATTGTGATAATTTTATGAATGAGAACATTTTTTAAATCCATAGAGCTGGACATGGTAACATTGGCATTCAAAATGGTTAGGTTACCCATATTTTACTGTATTCTAGAGTATCAACTGTGGATAAATTGCTTGTAGTTGAAAAGGACGTAGACTCTGCTCTGATCAAAGGAACTAAGCTCGAAAAGGGGCTGGACTGAGCCACAAGCGTTTTATCATTGCTCATTGATTGTCAGGAATGAGCTTTGTCTGATTTGAGTCCTTCCCTTATAATGGCGGTGAACATTTTGTCATTTAAATATTCTTTCGGTCTTCTGTTTCCTTGGTTTGACACATATTCAACCAAACAACTCTTAGATGGGGTTTTGTAGACTTATGCGCTCATCTTGTAGATGATTGGTTCTTTTCCATTTAGTATGTATGAATTCGAACCTTGTTTATTGTTCCTACCATCCCATAACTGAACCTGCAGCACACACTCATCAATTGCTAAGATTCAAACTGCAAACCAATATGAATATAAATAGACACTTGCACAGGTAATATTCATTAAAGCACTGAAACAACCAACGCTTAAAACTACACGACAAAACTACTCTAGACATACCAAGTTCGGCTTGCAAGGAAATACACAGAACATAACAGCCTATGCTTCAAGTCTAATCATATACCTGCAATTTGCACCTGCCCCAGAAGATGATTGCCATCTCAACCAAAAGATAAGCTAGACACTTCTTCTGAGGGGCCAGCTGTTTATATAGATACTGCATTCCATAAAAAACCTAAAAGTGAAGAGGTTTTGTCTTGCATTTTTGCTGCTAAAGACAACTACACATACAGCATGCAAATCTCTCTTGTGTCCACAGGTCTTCTGGTATACCTAGCTGTTGTGACTGAATGATTTTTACCATGTGTATGCCATGTCAATCTAGCCCAAATTCAATACGGTTTTCTACTATAGCATTAGTCAGGTACACAGGATTTCAGTTCAGTTGAAAATCATGCTAGAATTCGAAGCTCTCCAGTAGGATCTACCGAATATAACATGCGAGAACTCCCAATATCTGGGGAGAAAACAGAATATAACATGCGAGAATTCGAAGCTCTCCATCTACCGAATATAACATTCGAGAACTCCCAATATCTGGGGAGAAAACAGCGAGAAAAGACAATGTTCTGTGTGGTATTGTCTTTGATGGGAATAAATTTTCGATAATGTCTTTATCTGTAGCTTTTGTTTGATTATCCATGAACTCGAGCAAGAGAAGCCATGTTACTGGTTACTGTTACAATTACCATTAAGTGGCTGTTTAGAAAGCGATGTTCGTTAAAGCTCAAAATTGCCAACTAAAGATCAGAACTAATGAATTATCCGTACATTGAACTAGTAAATTTAAAACTTTCTCTGTGGAAAGACACTTCTTTTTTTTAAAAACATATTTGTCTCTTTAACAAATGTGGCTAGTTTACTGAAGTCTTTCTGGATCAGTATGCAAAATAATGTTGTCTCTCACCAATTCATTATTCTACAGGCGGGAAGTAATAGTCACATCTGCTGTCTTAACATGTGAGGTCATAAAGGTATAGTTTGTTTCTTTTAGGTTTGTCCCTTAATCGTTTCATTCTGTTTGTGTTCACAGCTCTTTAATGCTGAAAGTACTTCGCAGGTGATCTGTGCTCTTCTTCTCATGGCCAAAGATGGGACTTTGAAAAAAGTGTTTAAAGAGTGGACATTAGCTGGATCACTGACTGCATCAGGTTTACCAGCTGCTATCTATGCATTGCAGAATAGCTTGTTGCAGATTTCGTACAAAAACCTTGATTCTCTCACATTCTCAATGCTGAATCAGACCAAACTATTTTTCACTGCGTTTTTCACCTATGTTATATCGAGATAATTAAATCATGTGTGTTTTCTGCTTCTTTTCTTTTTATATAGGAGATTGAAATAAATATGGATTCTTGATTCTGTTTGTCTCTCAGCCTTTGGTGTTTTACGAAGAAAATCTGCATCCTTCATGATAGAGCTATAGAATGTTGAAGGGTTTCGACTTGAAGTTGGTTCACTGTCACTTTTATACTTAGTTTATTTGAAAACGATTTCATTGTAACTCAAGGAGATTTTTTCCTTTACATGTTTTTATCTTTTTTCTTTTGTTTTCTGGGAAGGTAGCTGGTATTTTAACAACCTTGTAGTGAAGCTAGTTAGTTACAAATCTAACAAACAGACGTGCGTTTATTGTTAGTGATTTACCTTTTTTTCTTTTTTTTTTCCCTGGGATTTTATTATTTGCCGTTTGTTTTCCAGGCAAAAGCAGTCAAGCCAACAGATTGGAGATCTCTTCTTGTTAATACTAGCGGCTGTTCTTTTAAGTGTTGGTGAGGGTTCCAGCAACGCTTCAAGCAGTAGTAATCCTGAGGAAATCTTATTTTATGGAATTGTATCTGTCCTGGTAGCTTCTGTGCTCTCTGGTCTCGCTTCTGCTTTGTGTCAGTGGGTGTCTCAGATAGGCCAAATGGTTGATGATTGGGGATCAGTTTCTAAACGATACAAACAAAATTAGCTTGTATTTACTTTCTTGGTATGAAAAAGGTACAAAAGCACACATCATATTTGATGACAGTGGAGATGTCTATAATTGGAAGCTTGTGCTTGCTGGCTAGTTTTTCAAGGTCACCTGATGGAGATGCAATAAAAAAAAAATTGATTTCTTCTATGGTTGGACGCCGCTGACGCTGGTACTTTTTCTTATCGCCCTTTACTGAATGCTGCCTCTGTCCAAAGTAGTTAATAATAACATATTTAGTTTTCTAGGTTAGTATCTCACTCATCATTGTTAAAGAGTCTTTGGTCAATTGATTGATCTACTCCTATCTGGTTTAGAAGAATACACTTCTGTTAGGACAGGTAAACCATGACCTGGATTATCTGCTTTCTTGCTATCATTGCATGGACATTCCTATATTCAAGAGTGTGTTTTTCACCGAGTCTACTGATTTTCATTCTTTACGTCCTGCCAAACTCATCTTAGTAGCAACTAGGAAGCCTCAGCTACCTCAGTTACTTGAACATATTTATATTACCAGGTTCATTAGTAGCATGGGTCAAAAGTTTTTGTCAATAATTAGGATGATGCTTAAACTGAAAAGAATTTTGATTCGTACTTCAGTTTCAAAATGGATGAATATGAACTCTCAATCAAGAGGAAAAGGGAAAAATATAGATTTTACTATTCAAAATTATTGGTTTGGTCATTGAACTCCGTTGATAGTGACATTATTAGTTTAAAGACGCCAAAGTGAAATTCTTCAATATCATTTGTTTTTATTCCATTCCACTCACCTCTCTTACAAAGCCAAAAAGATATTTTGCTACAATGCCTAGACCTAAAATCTTTTAACAAACCTCTTTCAAATCCAATAAGACATTTTGCTACAATGTCTTAACCTCAAAGCCCATTAGAAGCAAGACATTAGACTGTATGAAGGAAAACAGAGAAGGCATAATGGAACAAGACAAGTGGTGAGTGTTGTGAGATCCAATGGGAGAGGTTGACTGGGTGGGTAGTCAGACTTATTGAGATGAAAGTTTAAGAAGTAATGCAACAGCTGGTTAACGAGACACCCATGTCATGGATCTTTACATTTGGATTCAATGTAAAAATTGGACCAAATGTCCAAAGCTGTACGAATTCATTAACAATATTTAGCGTGTTATTATGAAACTTATAACAAATGTGGTAACATGTCATGTTCTCGAAAAGCAGTTGTTTGAAAATTAAGTGTCCACATCAATGATTTTGCTCTTCAATCATTCGGAATCAGTTTTTCTTTTTCAGTGGGGTGACATGGGTTACTCCGAGTCATTCGTGTGTGATAGACTGATACAATTATTCTCATAATTAAGGGTCATTTGAATGTTTTGATGTGATCCTTCTCTCCATCATCTCAGATCCCTGTGACACTCAATGCTGTTGGTGGAACTCTGGTGGGGCTTGTGACATCATATGCGGGTGGTGTTCGTAAGGTGAGCTTATACCTTGTGATTCTATAGAGTTAATGTCTTTGATGGTAATGACGCTGGACCTAATTCTAATTATCCATTCATTAGCCAAAGAGAATAAAAAGGCACAAATGTGTTCTGGAACCCTAAGTTCAGAAAAATGGTTGCTAAACTGCAATAATAAGACAAGGATTCCGAATCTAGATTAGGAGAAACTAGAATAATTTTTGTTGGAACTGGACCTTGCTATGGCTTTGCTGTACGAAACAGGCAAACACTAACTACATAATCATTTTTCAAAAGCCTGACATTCCAGGTGCAAAATTGAGCAGTCACCATTAGTGGATTCATGCCATAATAGCAGAAAATTTCTGGAATGAAGGAAAGAATAAGTAATGAAGTAGTTACTTAAATCATTTGGAATGATTATCCTTAATTCATGACCCTCACTTTCTAGAGTTGTACAGAAAATAGAGAGAAACAAATGCTGAAATGTAGATTCCTGAAATTGGTGCTCACTAGTCAGAAACTAATACATTCTCCAAACCTTTTTGCCATTTTTAATGTTGCTCTTCAATTCTTTCTCCAGTCCATCCATCATTCCATACAGCTGATGTATTGATTATCTTGTCTTTCCTAAAAAGACAGGGATTTGTCGTGGTTTCTGCACTCCTTGTCACTGCGATGCTACAGTTTATATTTGATGGCAAACCACCTTCTGTTTTCTGTCTTGTGGCGCTTCCACTTGTAATTACAAGCATATTGATTAATCAGAAGTATCCACGTACCGCGTTAAAGCAAAGGAGTCATGATCCATTATAGTAGTTAGTCGATACACGAACCCATTTGGCTTCAACTGCATTAAGAAGGAAGGAGCTATGCAGACTTCTTTACGTGCCAAAATAGGAATCTTCTACCGGATTTGACCTCCTTTGTATTGGGTCATATGTTCCGTGTAAGTGATTACCAGGATACTGTATTCTTCTTTTCCCTTGGTATTTCTGGTAATGCAAATTTTACTTGGTTGATTTGCTGCTCCTAATGAACAGAACTATAAACACATTCTGGCCCCTCAGTGTTTCTTAACGTTCCAGACACCATTTTTATCATTGACACTGAAAGACTATTAATTCTAAATATCTCATAATTTTTGTTTGAGATAGTCATCCTTATGAATAATTTCCCGATCCGAATCAAGCGCTAACAGATCCTCTTCACCCCGTGAATCATATGTCTTCGTATTCCTCCAACTCAATCATACTACTCTAACCAATCACCAGATTAACATTTTCTTTTGAATTCACGAGCTGTTAAAAAACTCTTACGTAGTTCTACACGGGCAACAAAACAGTTTCACATGCAACAATTACCGTCGTGCCCACTTTTTCTTTTATTTTTTTATTTTTTTTTTCTTTCCTACCTTTTGATTAGGTTTTTTAGCAATAATGTTTTGTTCTTTTTTATTTTTCTTTTCTTTAGTCATTTTCTTCACTATTTATTTTGGTTTTCTAAAATATTTGTATTTCTTTTTCTACTCTTTCTTTTCGTACTATTTTGAATTGTTTTATTTTAAATTTTTTCTTCACGTATTTGTTTTAAATTGTAAATGACAAATTTTCAATTCTAGTGTTTGAGTAGGTAAGTTGTCATTATATGAATATTAGATAACTAAAATCTATGTACATGTATACGTAATTGCTCACATTTGAAATCTATGTAAATTGCATTTTCTGATATATGCTGTACTTTTGAAGTCTATAGACATTGCATTTTTGGTAATAAATTTTTAAATACTCATTAGTTTAATCCCATAATCCTGTTTAATAGGCCATAATTTAATTAAAATGCTATAAGCTTAAAATAAAACAACGGTTACCCATTTTACTTGGTTCCAGTTTTTTACATCTCAAATTTCTCTGTGGTTAATCTAATGTTCGTTTCATCTGATTTACGCTAGATAGAAATCCTACGTTGCGTACACTTAAAAATAGGTTGCGGACATCAATTTTATTTTATTTCGGCCTCAACTTTTAGTTTACAAGTTGTGAATTGTGTTTGTAAAAAGTATGATAAAAATACATCGAGAAGATAAATTTCAATGGAAAATGAATTTCTTAGAGGTTTTAGTGGCCAATAATTATACCATCATAAGAACAATGATGCGTACTAATTCTTAAAGAGATTTATATAACCCCAACTGTAGGTGGGTCCTTGGCATTATTTATACTCCTTATGCCCTAAAATATGATTTTTTAATTTATACTAAAAATAAAAATTAAAATCGAACAATCATATTGAGAGATAGAGAATATTTATTTCAAACTACAAGGTTCTTTTATTTTTAAAAGGACAATAATAAAAAGAATTTAAAACTTAAATTGATTTATCTGTTAATTCGTAAATAATTAATACGTGTTATATTGTATATGAATTTTATACTTCTCAAAGTCTCAAAGGGTTCATGAATATGTTTCCAAACTGTTTCGTCCCTTTTATAGCTCCATGTCTTCCGGTTTGACTCGCATATCCGACCGGTGAATGAAACACCTTAATACTCCCTCCGATCCTTAATATAACGCATTTTGATTTGTCCTAAATTCTATTTAGCATGCATTTTTTAGTGACAAAAAAACTTGAAAAATATATTTTCTTATTCGTTGTGTTCCCTTGATTGTTATGAAATATTTTTAAGGTTTTTTTCTCAATTAAAAATGTGTATTAGGTGAAATCTAAGAAAAGTTAAAATGCCTTATAATAAAGACCGAAGGGAGTATATGCTAACCCTTTATTCATTACTCTCCCCCTTCCTTTTTATATGTCGTTTAGGGTTTAATAGTTTTTTCAATATATGTCGTACTTTTTCACAAATCGAAGTACATTTGATCAATTTTAATTACCCTTATATTAGAAATACAATAGTATTTATAATGAATTTTTATTAGTTTGTGATTAATTGTATGAATAATAAGTTTGAGTGATTTTGTCTTTTAACTATATCAATTAATATTTTTCTTGATTTCGATAAATATTCTAGAAAAACATATAAAAAGGAATGGAGGGAAACGGCTGCGCTTAACTGTCGCATGAAAACTTGGAGGGAATCGGACTGCGGCAGATGGTGTCCTAATATTTAAAAATTAAGTTGAAAAACAAAAGAAAAAAAAAATTAATATTTTTTTCTTTTGCAGTTTAGATCCTTATCTAATATTATAAAATTACGTGGAAATGCACTATTAGAGATATGAACAAAAAAATAGCAGGACCAAGGAAAAGGAAGATCTGGATTTACCATATATGTTCTCGAGATTGATGTCATGGCATGTAGTTTGACTGGCGTAAAGGAGGAGGCGATTGATCTTTTTAATCATTTGTTGAATTCGAACTCTATAATTTAATTTATTTATTTATTGAAGTGATATTTACCCCTATCCAATTTACTACACTTTCAATTATGGCATAGTCCGGCCATAACACTCGCCAAGAATGTTTCCAATGCCAAAGTTCAATAGATAGTTCCTCAGCATAAAAATGTTACGCTTAATTGTCCAAAAAATCCCGTAACTTAAGGTGCTATATTCATTTAGTCCCAAAAGACCAAAGCTGTCTTCATCAACTCCCATAACTTACATTTTTATTTTTCTGTGAGTTGACCGTTAAAATGAAACGGCCACATGCCTCTCACGTGATATTTTGTCAAAGGGATACTCACCGGGCAGCCACACTAAAAATACACCACCGCCTATCGGCGAGCACATTTGATAGGCAGCGAATTCGGTGACCACAGGTCCATTGAACCATTCCCCTAATCCTTCTTTCCTTCCTCCCTTATATATTCCTTCCCTTGCCATTTTCTACCAAAAAGTTCCAGAAAATAAAATCTGCTTTTCTCCCCCAAAAACACACTGCGCCAGTAGCATTCCCTTTAACACACCAACCCAGGTGGAGAATAGTACACATCTCTTCTTCAATTGTGCCATCTCACAAGCTATATGGAGTTTTGTTTATCCCTCTTTTCAGTCCATTTTGAATGGCAGTACTGTCTCTCTACTGGATTAGTTTGTTGACTGGGTCCAATCTTCTCCTTCAGAGGATGATATGGATATGTTTCTCACTATATTTTGGCGAATTTGGATGGAACGTAATGACAAAGTTTGGAGATCCCACGCCATGGATCCAGTTCTATCATGGAGAACCATTCAAGAGGAAATCCGTTGGCATAAGACATCCATACACTTGAAACAACTACAAAGTGACCGAAGTCCTCCTGCGCCAACAATAGTGCCGGTTAATGATACTCATGCTATCGCAGTCTGTGATGGCTCGTTCCACTCAATCACCAGAAGTTCCGCTGAAGCTTGGAAAATTACATCTCCCTCAGGCTTGTTAATGCAAATAAAAACGATGTTACTCCCTTCCTTATCAGCATGCCAAACAGAAGCCAATACCTGTCTAATGGCTCTTCAAGAAGCGTGGATGTTTGGAATCCGAGATGTGATCATCCAAACAGATTGTGCGGAATTAACATCCAATCTAAGGATATCCTCCTTTCCGACGGAGGCTCATGAAGTTATATCGAATCTTCGTCAGCTTATGTCTAAGTTTAATTCATGTTCTATAGTTAAAGTTAATCGGAATCGTGTTATAGATATGCATAATCTAGCATACTCTAAAATGGGATGTAATATTCCCTCCTTAATTCAGTAATATACAGGTATATTTTCAAAAAAAAAAAAACCAACCCAAATTCCCAATAATTTTCCCAATTCCTAAATTTTGTTTCTAGTGGTTTTCTTTGGATACCCATTCAATCACTTTTTAGCCTCTGAAAAAATGTATTAGCAAGTATTGAGTGAATCACCTCCCTTCGGCCTAAAATAATGTTCCAGGGGATTTTGCGGTGTACTGCTGTAGCTCCAATTTTAGTAACCTCATCCCATGTTTAACGGAAATTTGGGGTGAATGGCCTTTAAAAGTTGATGACTTGGATCATTTACGGCCTGTGACGAATTATTGGAAGCTATAACCAGCTTCTCTGAAGTTTTCACTGCCGGAATTGACCAATAATTAATGCCTGCATCTCCAGCTCCGGTGACCGAGGCTCCGGCTAAGCATGCTCACCCGAAAGGTAGGCACTTCAGGGGAGTAAGGCGGCGGCTTGGGGAAAGTTTGTGGCAGAGGTAAGGGATCCGGCGAAGAACGGCGCCAGGGTGTGGCTATTACATATGAGACCGTTGAAGAAGCGGCTCTAGTTTATGACAAAGCGGCTTATAGGATGAGGGATTCTATAGCCTTGTTAAACGAGCCGGAACCAGTGAGGGCAATGGCTAAGGGAAGGTCGCCGGAGCCGGCTATATCAAAGGTGCTCGCCGGTTCTGGTGGTGGCTGCCCGATAAGTATCCCTTTGACAAAATGTCACGTGAGAGGGGTGTGGCCGTTTCATTTTAACGGTCAACTCACAATAAAAATACAAGTTATGGGAGCTGATGAAGACGATTTTGGTCTTTTGGGACTAAATGAATATAGCACCCCAAGTTATGGGTTTTTTTGGACAATTTAGCGAAAATGTTATTAGGATTGCATTTTATTTTAATTTTTGGGGGGATTTTTTTGGGGTTTTTAGTGTTTATGTCTGAATAAATAATTGTTAATAAATTTTTCTTACCAAGAAAAAAGTGTCCTTATGATTTGATAATCTAGGATTAGGCAATACAAATCGCTGTTGCATTGATAACACAGAAAAGTTTAAGGTTAATTTATAACTAATAGCATTTGATTTTGAAAGAGAAAATCAAAGTATCGGGCCTATGTAAATGTGGAGCTTTTTTCTTTTTCTTTTCTTTTCTTTGTCAAAATAAATAACAACATTAATGACTATAAACAAAGAAGATTAAGAATTACAACAAAAAAAGAGTACGCAGCTAAAATCTAACTTTTCATTTTTCATGTGATTAAATTATTGCTAATTGCTAACTAATGATGGTTTTGTTTTAAGTTTTATTTTAATGCATTGAGCTTCCTTGTAATTTGAAGGTATTTGTCTCTATATCCAACCCATGAAGCGCCGTAAATGTTGTATAATCTTGCAGTTATCTCTTTTGTTTTGTCATCGATGGGTGGTAGTCCAGCTTGAGCAGCGACCCAATCTATATACTCAAACTGCAATATATAAAGGAATTCAATAAATTATTAAACTCATTTATTATTTCATCCGTCCAAAAAAATAACCGACTTTGTTTAACTTAAACAATATAACAACATAAATTAATTTTCTAAAATGGAAAGAATATTTTCCTTTTCGCATAAAATAATTTTTGTTTTGCTATTAGTTTCTTCAATCTTTAGGATTCGAAGAATTAGATACCTGGTTTAAGGGCAGTTGATGTGTATAATGTTTAGGAACTCCCATGCTCTCCATTTGCTTGTAATGTTCTTCTACATCCTCCAACATTTCTTCTTTTGAAGGCAAGAACGCCTTTCCCGATAAAACACACACTACCCACTCTGCTTGTATTTGCATCATAAGGAAATTATTTGCTCGATTCGGAATCCCCACGAAAGAAAGTGTGGGTGCCAATTGTGGAGGAAACATGTGTTTATATAAAGGTCCGACTCGATTATCATCAATAGTTACAACACCATTGGTTTTAAGGAAAGGAAGAGCATACTTGTACCCGGTGCAATGAACAATGGCATCTGCACTAGTTAAAGTTTCATCTTCAAATTCGACTTCACCGTTTTTGTAGCAATATTTTATCTGTGGCAAGGATGGACTATTATAATTAACATTTGCAAAAATGTTGCAAACCTTGTAATCGTCAATTTTACTAAATTTAGATGATGATGATGATAATAATAATAATAATAACAATTTAATTGCTACGTGAACTAACTTTGGGATGCTGCCATAAGTTATCGAACTTTTCCATTTTCTTTGACACATTAATTCCCGGGGCTCTGGATGAAATATGAACTTCTTTGGCCACGGTGGAAATTTCTAGTGAGATATCTTGGGCACTTGGTCCATCACCAACAACAATGACACACTGTGATTTGCAAATAATACCAACTAAATCAACAATATATGTGTTAAAGAAAGATCAAGTTAACGCAACAAGGTTCTTAATGTTGACAGTTTTCTAATGAAATAAACAGTTGTACGTACTTGATCGCGAAATGGCTCTGGAACTCGATAATTGTGACTGTGAATTTGCTTTGCTGGCCATTTTTCAATTCCTTTAGACAAGAACAGCCCACCAGAGAAAAAAAAATAAAAGAAAAACAAAGTTAGTAGGCACACAACAAATAATTGCAAAAGAAAAAAAAATGAGAAAAGAAAAATAGACTAAACACAATTTAATCTTACTTGCGAGATATTTGTATATAAGAATTTGAGAGGATTTAGAGTTTAAGGATATTTTAATCTATTTTACACGTTACAAAATAAATTCAATCTGCATTTAATAATACCCAAGAAAAAACTATGATAAACAACTTCATGCATATCTAGGAAGTTACATTTAATTTTGTTAAAAAGTGGTACAAACCTGGAAGTTTTGCTAGTTTGGGTTGAGTGAAATGGCCATTACAAACCACAACTGCATCAAACCATTCTTCTGAGTTGACAATAATTCCATCTCTTTCATGTTTCCCTTCAACAACCCACTTTCCATTCTCCAACTGTTCAACTCGCACTACTTGTATACTAAACCTAATCAGCTCCATCAGCCTAAAATCTCGAGCAAAATTGTTCAAGAACTGGAAAACCTCTTCATGTCCAGGAAATGCTTGGAAAACACCATTCTTGTCCTTCACATTAAATGGATAATCTAAAAAACCCATAAGCTCTCTCGGGATGGTTGTCCTAACCGAACGATAAAGGCTGCTATGAATGATCTCGCGGTTTGGATCAAGGCCTAAGGGATCCTCCTCCACCCGTGGATCATAAGCCCAAATCCCTCCAACTCGATCGGATTTCTCGTAAACCACTACCACATGACCTTCTTTTTTAAATTCACGGGCGGTAGCAAGCCCGGCAGCTCCTGCTCCGATAACTGCAATTTTAAGTGGCTTCATCATATTGTTAACTTCCTTGGATATATGCAGAAAAATAAGTAGCTGAGTTCTATATATTCACTGCTCGGAACTTAACATACATTTTCAAAATACCGAACTAAATGCATCATATATAGTCCTAAAGGTTCTGTGGGTTGTTCATGCCCGACTACTTATTTGGGAAAAAGTGTTTTTTTGTAACCTAAAAATAGAAATGATACTATTAGTTGATTCGCACCTTTTGACTACATTTGTCTAAAAAACCAGCAAATTAAATCTTTTTTTTTTTCTTTGAAAGTTGAGGGAAACATACATCCTTATCCTTTTCTTGCGTACTATTTTTAGGTCCATAATTTTGTGGAGCATTTTATTTGGGCGGTTGGTTATTAATGTCTGTGAGTGTAAGACACTAAAAGGCCAAACTAAAACCCCGAATGAGGCATTAAACTTGCAGAAAACGTGGGGAAACCTAATTTTTCGTTCGAGGGATTGGAAAATAATAGAGTTTAATTCCAATTATTCCACTGTTACGACTTTCCTTCAACGTTAGGGTAAGTGTCGAAAATAAGTTTTTGAATAGTTACTAAAATGTAAATTTATTTAGGCTGACATTTTTATTTAATAATTTACTCTAGTTTCTTTATTATATTTATTAGTTATTTATCATTGTTGTAATTAAAATTAGTTCAAAATATTATTTCTTTAAGGTTAGCTAGTATACATATGCTATGCTAGCATATATAATATCGTTCCTTGGAGTCCATGAAACACTACAAATTTATGAGACGGAAGAAATACTATTTCTTTAAAAAAAATTATATATTCTCTATCAATTATTGTGCTTGAATGTTTACTGTCAGTAGAAATTTATACTAAGAAGATTAAAATCCAAACTAGTTGGTTCAAGGGAAACTAAATTCGGACAAAATTTTAAAAGGGAAATTCAGGTAATTGCCACCAAATCCATTATTATCCCATCCAACAAAAATGAAAGTGACAATAATGAACCTATTAAACCACCTGGGCAACAATGGGCCGTTCAAACTCGTTTCGGAAACTACACGTCAGTTCCTTCTGCAATATTATATACCCTCCTTACTCCGTCATGCCACTCGAATACTTGGGAGAGCTTCAAACCACGTTGAATGATGTCGGCAACAGGAACAACGTGAATTTTATCTTCTTTTTTTGGTGGTCGGATTTTTTTTTATTTTGTTTCATTTCTGATGTCTTCTTCTTTTTTTAAAAAAATTAATACAGAGTGGAACTGATCATACGGTCCGATCTATTGATGAGACACTGTGCCCTATAAATTGACTGAACCAGTCACTAGTCATTTTCTTCAATATTGTTGTAAGTCATATTTTTTGTGCACGTCTTATGATCATGCCGTGAACAGATTTTTAAGATTCTAATGATCTCACTTATTTTATATCGTTCTCGCTATGTAACTGTCATTCTACATGCCAATTAATTATGACTTTTGTTATTGCTAAAATAAAAATTAAAATCCAAAACATATTATAATCTTTGTGACAAAATTACGCTATACACATCAAATCTTTCTTATTCTCATAATCCTCATCATCCTACGTTTATCTTTTTTCCCTACCACTTGCAATCTCCCCTAAACATTATAACGAACTCCTCTGATTTTTTTTTTTTTAGGAAAACATAAAATTTCCAACACTAAAAAATTCCAATTTTTTATTGCAATATAAACTCTCAAAAAACATACCCGAAGAACACTACTTATCTCTTGACTTTATTCTACCACCTGCTATTCTATATGGGCTCTAGATACCAATGTCAAGTAATGAGCTTATCACCTCAGAAAACGGATTAATTGACGGGAAAAAAAATTGACGGAAACAAAAATTAGTTCACCGGCAACGACAGAGAGGAGAGAGAGAAAGAAAAGCTTATCAATTAAGCCAAAGTTCAACTGAATTCTGTTACATAAAATTTCCAGAAGATTCTCATTTCTTATTTATACTAATTACGTACTAAAGCACTTCTCTTAACCTAAACTGCATGCATGAAGGCATTAATTGCAGAATTAACCAAGTTAGAGCCAAACGACGGGGTGGCGATATTGACAGGTCAATTTTTAATCTCTAGGGCAAAGTTTACCTTTCTCTCCAAAAATATCCTTATATAGTCAAACTTCTACTTGCGGATAGCCGGCGATTGTCTTCAGAGTACTTGCTCTTTATTATTTTTAGGACTCTTCCTACCTCCATAGTAGAGCTCCCAGCACAACCGTCGAATTTTATGGTTCTTAAAATATCCGCCAATGTAAATCAACGCATAAACATTGTCCGGAAACTTTATCTCCAGCATAAACATTATCCGCATAAACATTATCTCCAGCATTCACGTTCTTGATCTCACGTTCTTGAGCGAATTCGGTTTCTCATTCCCGAATTTAACTTCCAGACGGTAATATATGGCCGGTACAGCACCATTGCTGGACAAGATGTCAGTACCAAAATTGAATTTGGAAAGTAGGTAAGCTGCCAAAGATCCAGCAACAACTGCGAGATTTTGGCCGGAATCAAAATAGGGCAATTGTTTCAGAGCCGCTCCAATCCGTTTTCTTGAGATTTCAAAATTTTTCAAATTGTTCAAGCTGTTTTCGGAAAGAATCTCTCATGATCTTGATAAATATTTTCCGAGAATCGCTCACAATAGTGGTGCGGAGACGAACCAGAAAATTCCGACCAAATACTTCAATGCGAGGTGGAGGACAATCCAATTCAATCCCAATTTAGTCCAGATAAAGTAGAAAATATAAAAATTCACACATTTCACATCAATAATCAACATTATCTCACTCCAATTCACTTATTTATGAGAATCGCTCAAAATGAAGCAAAAATTGTTACCTATGAATCTTATCTTTCATCTCAATTCTGGCCAAACGAAAGTCAACCGGGATTAGTCTCCAAAAAGGCAAAAACTATAGAGGAAAACTCTCTCCTTGGTCATGACTCATGAGATCTCAACAGGTTTATCCTCCGCCGGATATAGTATAAAGGGAAAAGAGGTGATATGGTGAGAAAGAGCGATGTATGGGAAGAGAAATCAATTTGGTCGGCGGAGATGAGCAATGGATCTCACTTTTCAAGAACAGGGAGAGGAAAAAAAATGAGTTTGACTCTGTCGAGGGTAAATCCAGAGGCGTGGAGTCAACGGTCTAACCCGAAGGGAAACCTGCAAGACGGGGGTTAGCACTCCGAACTAGCACTGGGTGTGCCTAAAAATAGGGGCTCAACTTGAGGGCCGTGGTCACAAGGCAAAGGATCAACTTCTTTGCTGGGTTGTACCGAGACTCAGCGGGTAGAAGGACCTTGCTAACATAATAGACAGGGATATGTTTTCCCTTACACTCTCGAACCAAGGCCGCGCTCACGGTCGATTCCTCCACCGCCAAGTATAGAATTAGCGTCTCCCCCGGGTCAGGCCTGCTCAAGGTCGGGAGAGTCTTCAGATGATCCTTGAGATCCAAGAAAGCTTTCTGACAGGCTTCAGTCCAACCGAAGATATCGGACTTCTTGAGAACCTGAAAGAACGGAAGGCTTCGTTCGGCAGCTTTTGACAGAAATTGCCCTAGGGCGGCAATAGACCCCGTGAGCTTTTGTACTTCTTTGATTGTCCGAGGAGGTTGCATATCCAGGATGGCCTGAACCTTGGAAGGGCCCACATCGATCCCCCTCCAGGATATTTGATAACCCAAGAATTCCCCGATCCGACACAGAACACACACTTCTTTGGATTCAACTTCATGTTGGCAGCTTTGAGGGTTGGGAAGGTTTCCCGGAGGTCGTTAACCACCATGTCAATCCGACGACTTTTCACCACCATGTCGTCCACATAGACTTCTACATTTCATCCCAATTGGGACCCGAAGACACGGTTCGCTGATAATGTTAATATTAGCATGATATTTGTGGTGGTTTATGTGTTGTTTTGAATATTATCTATGCTAATATTAGTGCTTTGGTTCTTACTTTGATCATAGGAAGGATTTGGAACAAAAAGAAGAAAAGTGTTGATTTTGAAGAGATTTTTAAGGTTTTATTGAATCAAGTTTCAAGTTGGAGAAGTGGTTGATTCCTGCGTGGGCACAAAAGATCCATGCCAAAATCAATGAAGGAAGCAGGAAATTCAAGCAACAATATTGTATTCCCACGTGGGCACGCTGAAATAAGGACTGAAGCGCAAAATTTCCATAGTTTTGGGGTCAATTTGTAATTTTGGCAAACTTTAGGGGCTAATTTGCAAATTCTGAAAACTTTAATTGGGGATGCCCTAAATTTGCATATTAATAGTCTTTTTCTTATTATGAAGAAAGAGAGGAGAAGAGGCACAACACAAGGAGCGACGGCTGGAGCTCAAGACAAGGATTTCTCTCCGTTTTCGTCAGTTTTAGCTCTGTAATGTCAAACATCAATTCTTGTGTTGTTGATTTCACCATGATTAGCGACTAAACCTCTTTTCTAGTTAAAGGATTTTATTGAAGTCTTGATGTTATTCAATTGTGAGATCTAACTGTTTGCTTTTCACCAACAAATTTTGAGTATTTATTTATTCTCTTTGATGTGTATTGATGATTATTTGTCATTATTTGAATAGCTGGTAGCATTCAATTCTCCTAGATAATCTAATTTATTGAACAACAAGGTTTGTTTGTTCCTTAGAAGAGACAATGCAAATAATTACTTGGTAAGCAGTTTACTTGTGTTGTGAGAATAAATAATCAATTTTTAATGAAACAAGGTTTGTTTGTTAGAAATTGAATTGGGTTTTTGCTTGTCAAAAACTAAATCCTAGGAGGTTCCAGGTAGTGTTTTTTGGCTATAGAGTGATTAATGAAGGTTTCTTAGTCACTTTTAGTTAAATTAAAAGACTGAGTTGTTAGGAGGTTCCAACAACGATAACTAATATATTCATCATTTGTTGAGTTAATCTTTACATCAATGATAAGTTGGATACATCAAGGTGGAAATTATTCCTTTGACTAGAGTTTCTCTTATTATTGATTTTCCAAAGCTATCTTTTATTGTTCGCCAGTTATTTTTTGTCATCCATTAGTTATAATCCAAAAATTCGTCCATTTGGTTACTTTACTTTTGATTATAAATATTTTCATTTCCTTGCTCCTTGAGGAGACGACCCTACTCATTGCTATACTACTAAATTTCTTAGGATTAGGTTCTTTTATTTTTGT